AATAATAAAACGGAATATGATACTTATTGTAGTCATGGTACTACGGCTAGTAGGGGTGTAGCTATTTTAATTAAAAAATCACTAAGCTACGAACTAATAAATAAATTTATTGATAGTGACGGAAGATTAGTACTTATCAACGTGCAGATAAATAACTCAATTTTTACATTTATTAGTGTATATGCACCTAACTGTAAATCATCTAGAAATTCTTTTTTCAAAAAGGTCAGTGAAAATTTGAAGGAACACGGTCTAGGAATACCAATACTTGGGGGCGATTTTAATGAGACAATTAAACCAATTGATAGAAAATCTATACGTCCATGTAAATTTACTCAACCCGTAAACGGTTTAAAAAACTTGATTAAATCTAACAAACTGTCAGATGTTTGGAGAAACTTAAATGAATGTAAACAGCAATTCACATGGAGAAGAAGAGATAGGTCACAAGCTAGTAGGATTGACATGATTTTTATGGGGTCAGATTTTTTACCTCTTGTAGAATTTTGTAAAATCAAACCGGCTGTTATTCGGTCTACTGACCACCAAAGTGTATTTCTAAAATTTAAGCCAGGGGTATCAGAAAGGGGCAATGGGTATTGGAAAATAAATAATTCAGTTTTGCAAGATAAAGATTACCAAGAACTGATTAATAATTTGATAGATAAATATATTTTCGAAAAGGAAACACTAGATTGTAGATTATTATGGGATGGTTTTAAAATTGCGGTAAGGGAAGTAACCACAAATTATTGTAAAAATAAAGCAAAGTTAACCAAGGGGCGAAGATATACTTTGGAAAAAGACTTGGAAGAAAAAATTAAATTAATGGACGAGACGACTATAGATGACAATGAAATAGAAAAAGAAATAAATGATATTGAAGAAGAGCTAAATAAGATATATGAAGAAAAAGCGAAAGGAGCTCAAGTGAGATCTAGAGAAAAATGGGTAGAGTTTGGTGAAAAAAATAATTCTTATTTTCTAGGGTTAGAAAAAAAAAGACAAGTAAAAAAATCCATAAGTAAGCTAATGGGAGATAAGGGGGAAATAATTTCGGATCAAGAGAAACTTTTAAACAAAATAAAAGATTATTATGAAAACTTGTATAATAAAAAAAGTTTAAACAAAGATTTAACAGAACAATATATCAGCGATACAAAATTAGAAAATAAAGTGGATGAAAATGATAAACTAATATGCGATGGGAAAATTACAGTGGAGGAATGCACACATGGTATCTTTAAAATGAAATTAAATAAATCTCCAGGTCTTGATGGACTTACGGTAGAATTTTATAGATTTTTTGGGAATAAACTTAAGTTACTACTGGTAAATGTCTTAAATACAGGATACGATAGAAACAGTCTTTCATATTCACAACGTACTAGTATATTAACTTTGATATTCAAAAAGGGGGATCCTTTACTTTTGGAAAACTATCGTCCAATATCTCTTCTTAATATAGATTTTAAAATTTTGTCATATGTTCTTGCTCAACGCTTAAAAAAGGTACTTCCAAAAATTATAAATGAGGATCAAACCGGTTATGTTAAAAATAGATTTATTGGGTTTAATCTGAGACAAATCCAAGATGTTATAGACTACTCAGAAAGATACAAAATTGAGGGAGCAATTGTTTTTGTGGATTTTACGAAAGCTTTTGATTCGTTAGAATGGGATTTTATGCTTGGAACTTTGAAACATTTTGGATTTAATGAATCATTTATTAAGTGGGTTAAAACTATGTATACAGACGTTCAAACATGTGTCATGAACAATGGGTGGGTATCAGAAAATTTCAAAAATTCACGGGGAATCCGACAAGGCTGTCCTTTATCAGCATTATTGTTTGTTTTGGCAGTTGAAATTATGGCCCTACAGTTGAGAAATAGCAACGAAGTAAAGGGAATCACTATTAAGTTAGATGGGAAAAGTCACAGCATTACAATTTCACAATTAGCAGATGACACAACATTATTTTGTAAAGATAAAAACGATGTAATATCTGCAATGAATATAATAGAAATATTTGGCTCGTTTTCGGGTTTATTGGTAAATAGAAATAAAACAGAAGGATTATGGATCGGGAAATTGAAATCATGCAAAGATAAAATTGCGGGGATTAATTGGGGAGATAAACCTATTAAAGCTTTAGGGGTGTTTTTTGGACATGATAAAGAGGAATGCAAAAAATTAAATTGGGATTGTAAAATAGAAAAAATGATAAAAATGTTCAAGACATGGGAAAAAAGGAATCTTTCAATTTTAGGGAAAATACTAATTATTAAAGCACTAATCTTGCCTTTATTTACATTCTTGGGAAGTGTTTGCTTAACTCCCGAAAATTATCTTAAAGAACTAGAAACACGAAGCTTTAAATATATTTGGGATGGGAAGCCAGACAAAGTAAAAAGAAACCTTATAATACGTCCATATGAAAAAGGGGGCTTACAAATGGTCGATTTTAAAAGTTATTTTATGTCGCTAAAGGCATCATGGGTATATAGACTTGTTAATGGTAAATTTGCCAACTGGAAGCTTATACCTTTTAAATATCTAAAGGTGTCTAATAATATGTTATTTATATTTAATATGAATTTAGATGATATAAAACATTTAGAATATTTTAAATGTGTTCCAGAATTTTATAGAGAAGTAATAAAGTCCTGGATTTTGACTGGGGGTGGGCAAACAAAACAACCAGATACATATTTTGATATAAGAAAGCAGACAATATGGGGGAATAAATTTATTACATTTCATAATAAACCAATTTTCTTTGAAAACTGGATTAAGAGTGGTATGATATACTTAAATGACATTTTAGATGACACTATGTCATTATCAGAAAAATATATTTTGAACACATTAAAGTGTAAGGTAAACTGGATTGCAGAATTTCATATATTGAAACATGCTATTCCACAAAATTGGATTCACATAGTTAAGCAAGAAAATTCTGTTCAAAGTACAGTTAATGTCAAGAGAAATAAGATCACATGGAAAGATCGTTATTTTGAGACTACATGTTTTTCAAATAAAATGTTATATGATTCGCTAGTGAATAATAAAAAAGAACTGTCAGTAGGGATAAACAGCTGGCTTAAAATTCTACCAATGCAAGAAGCTCCAAATATGAATTCACTATATAACTTTATTTTTAAATATTTAACTGAAAATAAATTAAAAATATTCAGATGGAAATTACTACAGTTTATTGTACCAACAAAAAAGCTTTTATTACAATGGAAAATAACTAATAATGATATGTGTAATTTTTGTAACATAGAAGAAGATTATGATCACTATTTTTTCAATTGTTCTTATTTGACAAGATTTTGGCAGCAAATATACGATCTCTTAAAAAGGAGTAATATAGATTTTTTAATAAAACTACAACACCTGATATTTGGATACAAAATCACAGACAACAAGTATTACTCAATAAATTTTTTAATTACAATACTTAGTTTTTCAATATATAAGTCATACTATGTATCTGAGCAGAAAACAAAAAACATAGACGTCTACAAAATTTTTGTCAATGAATACACTAAGAGAGTAGACAACAATATTAATGGACATAAGACAATAAGTCCAATGTTACTAACAATTAAAAGGAACATAATCAGTGAAGAATTTTTCTAGTATTGTTATTATAATGTTTTGTAAACAAAATGTATGTCAATTAATCTAATCAGCTGACTATTCCCTGGGTAGTCAGTGGATCATAACAGGGTACGTCAAGAGAAGCTTGGAATCTTGATGATTTATGTAACAAGCAATATTTGATGAATAAAATAATTATGTTGTTAAAAAAAAAAAAAACATTTTGAAGTTGTGAAGCCATATTGCATTTACAATGAACTGTTTAATTTTCAAAAATTGCAGTTTAATCTTGATTATGCTTTGAAAGCCTCTTAACATCTTTTGTGCATTTGGAAAAGTACCTATAGAAGGGGTAGATAATGAATATCTACCCCTTCTAGGTGCTTTTCCAAATCCTTTACACGAACAATGAAAAACAATCGATAAAAATGTCGATATAATCGATAAAAAATCTCCAGTTTTGATGCCCAATCTCCAGTTGAAAATTTTCAAATCTCCAGGTGTGACAAGACAACTTTGTCACATGAATCTAAGATACCTTGAATCGAACTAACGGCAGGGATTGTATGAACATTTGGATTGCAGAAGATAGAGAATTTAAATTTTATAAAAAGCATGTCAGGCCTATTTTTTTGTCCCCTGGACAAAAATGGTTGATTATTGTTATACTCCTCTCTGTCTGTGATTTGGCATTGGATAATAGAATAAATGTTTTGTCATTCAAATTTTTTTTTTTTTTTCAAAGTAGAATTATTTACCGGTATCACATGCATGCATAGTACTGTGGATTCATTATTATTCGTTGGATACCAATTTTTGTGGATTTCGTGGTTTCAGGTGAAGCACGAAATTAAATGTTCAACGAATGACACATTTTCTATAGGCATGTATAAAGGTTTCGACAAAACCACCAAACTAAATATCAACGAACATGCAAGTTTTCCTTAATCCACAAAAATTGGTACCCACGAAAATAAATGAAACCACAGTATTAAGTTTCATGAATTTTTCATAAAATGGAAGGTTGTTAAATTTTGTATTGAATGTATTATATACGTTGCACTGTTTGTCTATTCAACCCTGATTTTTTGCTAGAATATTTTATTTTGCACAATGTTTGGGCATAAATTAAATGTATGCCTATTATCAGAATTTTTATTTGAAAGAATTATGAATAAAATGAAAGTTAGCTGAACTTGAATTTTTGCTAAATTTAGCATCCACTATACAATAGCAGTCCTGGCTCTTTAAGTAGCCTGTAATTGTTTAAGCCTATCCAAGTCCTTTTAATTTGTCCCTATTCCCTTTTTTTTTAAAATTGGTATATAAAATTTATTCAGGAAATTACAAATTTTTGTTAAGCTCTAAGCTTCGTTTTTCCTTTGTAGGAAGATTTTAGTTTTAGTGAAATGGAGCGAATAGCTGTTTTAAAAGGATTTGTTGTTAAGAATGTATGTGCAGATGGGAATTGTATGTTCCACGCAATTTCACATTACATTGGAGATCAGATTAGTACACGCCCACTTATAGCAGAAGAAAAAGCAAAAGAACTCAGAAGGAAAATTGTTCAGTACTTAGAGAAAAATGACACAGCGCCACAAGGAGACAAATATTCATCCTTTTTAGAGGATGAAATAAATGATCAAAAAGGGGACAAATGGTCAAAATATTTAAATTCTATGAAACAACAAGGAACATATGGGGATGAAATTATTTTGAGGGCCATTAGCCATCATTTCAGTGTTCAAATTTTAGTGTTGTCTACTGAATCCCCAAAAAGATTTTTAAATTATGATCCAGCTCAACCAAATGAACAAACAAAAACTATTCACCTTGGTTTCATGCATGAAAATCGTCACTACGTCAGACTTGAAAAAAAGGTAATTCTGTAATTTTGCTTGACATTTTAATAGAGAATATAGAAGTGTTTTCATGATTGTGAAACCAAAATCTTTTTATTTTATAAGAAAAAAAAAATTTGATGTTATTATATAATTTCTTACTATTAATTTGGCTTCAACATTTATTTTTGCAGGTTTAAAGATTTTCTTTTATTAAAGGCATATTAAAGGCATATTCTCTATATCTGTAAATGTTTGTAAAAATAACAGGTATATATAAATAGTTTTAATTACTTGTAAATATAGATTCTTACATTGATACCAGTGGATTATCGGATTTATCCAATCGAGATAGTTAAATTATCAATTTTAAAGTCTGAGCCTTGGCGAGGACTTTAAAATTTATAATTTAACTATCGAGATTGGATAAATCCGATAATTCACGAGTAACTATGTAAGAATCTGTTTCTCTAATAATGATTAAAAAATACATTTTCATTTTTTGTTAAACCAAAACCCCCTTCGAGTGCCTTCCACATTTCACAAAGTTGTCAATTTCATTAACACCTGTTAGCATATTTTGAGCTGATAAAAGTTATGACCCTTATATTCATCCAATCATCTTCTGAGATCACCGGCAACCACACGTTGATTAAATTTTTTTATACAATGAGTGCAGAATGGTATAAATTGTAAAAGAATTAGAGAATCCTGTATAACTAATTTTTATTCTTATTTTATAATTGTTTATGGACCATGAATTTTGAGAGTCATTTTTGGCATCATTTTATAAAAGTTATTAAAATATATGATATATTAAATGATATAATTTTTCTAAAAAGATCAACTTTTAAGAAAAAAAAATTATTATGCTATTTATCAATGTCATCATAAGTTTTAAAAAAAAAAGAGAGCAAAGTTTGCTTTTGACAAAATTAAGTTCAGTTCAGTATAAAATGTTGCATGCTAATTGTTGTAGGACACTAGGTCAAATAATTTTGTTCTTGCAAGTTTGTTTTCTTTTTATGCTGATTGAGAATATTAAACAAGTTGGAGATTATCATAATAGGCAATGCATTTTGATCAACAATTGACCTTGACTGCAAGGTCAATTTTTCTTGATTTTTTGGCGATTGTCTTATCTTTTCCTCTTATAAGAATATTCTGAAGAAGCAATTATAATAAAAAAAAAAAACCAGACATGCTGATTATAATCTTTAATTTTCTGGTCAGATTTGGAATATGCATTGAAATATTTGTCAGTAGACCTTTAACAATACTTCTTGTGTAATATATAGTAAAATTAGTCTGCGCTGCCAGTAAGATGTTTGAGTAGATGTTAAGAACATTTTGTGGTGTTTTCTGGACATGTTTTTATGCCCCACATAGGGGCATTAGGTTTTTCAGTCTGTGTGTCCGTTCGTTCGTCCATCTGTCCGTCCGTCCGTCCGTCCCGCTTCAGGTTTAATTTTGTGGTCAAGGTGGTTTTTGATGTAGTTGAAGTCCAATCAACTTGAAACTTAGTACACATGTTCCCTATGATATGATCTTTCTAATTCTAATGCCAAATTAGAGTTTTGACCCTGATTTCACGGTCCACTGAACATAGAAAATGATAGTGCCCGCTTCAGGTTAAAGTTTTTGGTCAAGGTAGTTTTTGATGAAGTTGAAGTCCAATCAACTTGAAACTTAGTACACATGTTCTCTGTGGTATGATCTTTCTTATTTAATACCAAATTAGAGTTTTGACCCCAATTTCATGGTCCACTGAACATAGAAAATGATAGTGCCCGCTTCAGGTTAAAGTTTTTGGTCAAGGTAGTTTATGATGAAGTTGTAGTCCAATCAACTTGAAACATAGTACACATGTTCCCTGTGATATGATCTTTCTAATTTTAATGCCAAATTAGAGTTTTGACCCCAATTTTACAGTCTACTGAACATAGAAAATGATAGTGTGAGTGGGGCATCCGTGTACTATGGTCACATTCTTGTTCTTTTTGTTGTCTTTCAATTTTTGCTCTTATGTAGTCAGTTTTTCTTTCACTTATGAGTTGAATGTCCTCCTTGATATCTTTGGTCCTCTTTTTATTGTCCATATATTTGTTTTATGATGTACAATTTGCATGAACAACAACAATAATAGAAAAAAGTTAGGCTTCTCATACAAGACTTCTAGATTTCTCTTCTGGTTGGCTCTTTTTATTTTTTTATTTTTAGGGTCATTAATATTTCAAGATATTGGTGACATTGAAACATTGTTATATCAGTTAAGGGCACAATGTATGTGTTCCTTAACAGGATCAACAATGGAACATGACTTCAATACAAAAGGTCTTGTTTTCCTCAACATGGTCTTATAAAAGAAAGTCAGTATTTACAAAATGCTATCACATTAAGGAATCTATATGATTATTTTCCTTGTACAAAGCTATAAGCACTATGATGATTTTATGCAGGGTATATATTATTATGAAAAATACAAATTGACAGTAATGTTAACATGTAGCTTAGAATAACTGCTCCACAACAAATACAGACATATCTAAGTTATTTAGAATATGAAGTTGAAAGATATTTGAATATTTGTTTCAGGAAAGAATGGATCAACAATCCTCAACCAGTGAATCAACAGTTTGACAGCAAATAACCTTATAGAAACGAAGTAAGTGTAAATATCTATACAATTGTTGTCATCCACAATGTGTCATATATCAATGTTTAGTTACTTTTATGACAATGGCAGGCCTCTACAATAACTTTTTTTTCAACTTGTCCAATAGGACAAGTACATTCCAAAACTTACTTGTCCGAATGGAATTGTTACTTGTCCAAAAAATATCTTAATATTAATCTTTTTTGCATTTTAAGATGATTCACCGAACAAAATGAATTAAAACAATAGAACAGAATTTGATTTATATCTCTTGAAATCCTTTTCAAAAATATGAGTTGAGAACAACTGAATCTAGTCATGTCACAGGACTAAGGTTCTAGTTTTCATCAATGCCAAAGTCTCATCAGACTCTGCACATGAGACACAGTATAGTAGGCCTGTCAGTCTACACTAATTGGATTTGTATCCTAGTCTTTTATGTTGGTATAATATTGATTATTATGATTAATACCCAGTACTACAATCAGCTTTGTTTTTAATATATTAAAATGTTTATTCAAAAGCAATCAAGTATTGTTTTGTCTACATATGATCAAATACGATTTTAAGAATTTTATGGTCAATTATTTCTTCATTTTTATTTAAAAAATATTTTTGTTAAAAAAAATTATGGTATTTAATATAAAGCAACAGAATAAGATAGGGAAACCAGGTACTGGATTGTTTTGGTCCCGAAATGTCTCCTACAATGCCAAACTGTCTATTAAACATGTCTATTAAAAATGTCTCCTACGGTGCCAAATTGTCTATTAAACATGGAGCCAAATCGTTTCCGTGCTGGTGCCGAACTGTCTTGTAACGTTGCCATATCTACAAAGCGCATCGCAGATTCTGTTCAGTAAGACTGGTTTCTGAGAATAGTATGCGTTTTATCTGTTTTAAAGTATCTGACAAAGAACCAGTTTTAAATTATCGATCGCAAGTAAACATGTCAAATTAATATTTGTTTTTTATCTTGTTTTTTGTTCATAATTACTTTGATCATCAAAGTTGGATCAATCATTTAATTTATTTTCTGCTAGATAATTTTACTTGTCCCGACGGTCAAGCTTGATATGGCTTTTACTTGTCCGACCTTTTTAGCTTTTCTCATCACTTGGCGTCGGCGTCGTCGTCGTCGTCGTTGTTAGCTTTTTACAAAAATCTTCTCCTCTGAAACCACAGGGCCAAATTTAACCAAACTTGGCCACAATCATCATTAGGGTATCTAGTTTAAAAAATGTGTCTGATGACCCCGCCAACCAACCAAGATGGCCGCCATGGCTAAAAATAGAACATAGGGGTAAAATGTAGATTTTGGCTTATATCTCTGAAACCAAAGCATTTAGAGTAAATCTGACATAACTGTAAAACTAATTATCAGGTCAAGATCTATCTGCCCTGAAATTTTCAGACAAATCTGACAACCTGTTGTTGGGTTGCTGCCCCAGAATTGGTAATTTTAAGGAAGTTTTGCAGTTTTTGGTTATTATCTTGAATACTATTATAGATAGAGATAAACTGTAAACAGCAATAATGTTCAGCAAAGTAAGATCTACAAATAAATCTGATGACCAAAATTGTCAGTCAACCCCTTTAGGAGTTATTGCCCTTTATAGTCAATTTTTAACAATTTTTTGTAAATTTTTGTAATCTTTTACAAAAATCTTTTTCTCTGAAACTACTGAGACAAATTTAACCATACTTGGCCATAATCATTATTAGGGTATCTAGTATAAAAAAACTAAACTAAAACTAAACCCCACCTTCCAACCATCATAGCCAACTTGGTTAAAAATAGAACATAAGGGGTAAAATGCAGTTTTTGGTTTATATCTCTGAAACTAAAGCATTAAGAGCAAATCTGACAGGTGGAAAAAATGTTCATCAGATTAAGATTTATCTGCCCTGAAATTTTCAGACGAATCTGACAACCTGTTGTTGGGTTGCTGCCCCTGAGTTAGTAATTTTACAGAAATTTTGCAGTTTTTTGTTATTATCTTAGATATCATTATAATATGTAATATCTAATACTATTAATTATGATTTTAACCTTATTTTACATGATTTCCAAAGCAACAGTAAATACAGGTGAGCGACACAGGCTCTTGAGAGCCTCTAGTTTTCCTCTGGTACCAGACAATCGGACAAGCGTTATTGTCGAGCCCTGAATGGCTGTGCACAATATAACCATTCAAGAACATGATGTTCAGACACAGAAGTGGCTGAGTGGTCTAAGTAGTTTATCTTGTCAACTCTGAGGTTTAAGCTTGATGTGTTCAGCTCATATCTAAATTGACAAGGACTACTTGTTTTGTTACTAGGTATTAGGGGTTTTCTCTGGATTATCCAGCTCTCCTGATCAATAAAAACTGGTTGCAATGATTAAGTCAAGTTTTTTGAAAGTTGCGTTAAACATCATATAAATAACACATAGCTGAGAGGGTGATAGAGCAGATTGTTACCCCAAGAAAACATTTTCAACTGAGGCGAAGCCAAGGTTGACAATGTCTTTTAGAGGGGTAACAATCTGCTCTATCACCCTCTCAGATATGTGTTATTTAATTTATTATACTGAATGTTCTGTTCTTACTGTCTATTAAATTTCAAATTCAAAGTAATAAACTTTGACGTCTTGTACATAACAACCATCCGTATTTAATAAAGAGCACACTTGATCAAGCGTCTCCATGAAGGGTAATAGAGTATTTTCCATAGGATAGAGTAAATTGTCTCCCTTGTATTAACCAATCAAAATCTGGCATTTTGACATGAAGTATAATAAAAACAAATAACAAACAAACAAACATACGTAATCTCAAGCATTATATCATTTTAGTAAATCATATATATTTAACAGTATGCTTTTGTTTCACATATTTTTCAGAATTCAGGGTACAAGGATTAATTAAGTGCTAGTTTGTTATGGGGAATGTGTTCTGCCAAAGATTACAGATCTCAAGTGTGTTTGTTTAGTTGTTTCATTAGATATCCTATCAGTAGAATAAACAACAGAATTGCCCTCTATGCAATATTTTGATTGATGGAATGTGAAAATGTTTGTGTTTTTTTTTATGTGTTCATTCTGAGGATTAAACTTTTCACTTAAATTAGAATGGACAACAAAATTGTCCAATGTGCAAGATCTTCATTGAAGGAATGCGAAATGTTATGTGCATTTTTCATCTGATTTAATTGTTCATTCTGCAGATTTAATTTTTAACTTAAATATGGGTACACATTCACATGATGCAATTTTATATTTGATCCATCAACTGTAGCACTCAGGTAAAAGAAATTTCTAATTTGGAAATATTTAGGTTTTGTGTTATTCTAACGAAATACCTCAAGGCTTCTGTGCTTTTGGTATATATATTTGTTTTGCATGTACTGGTAGCACATCTGAAGAACACCAAATGAAAAATGAATTCATGTGAATGTAGTTACTTGTAAATATTTTGTGAACTATTGTTTAAGAAATAGTTATTAAAATGTAAAGATGCTGCCTTATAAATACACATATCATGCTTTAGTACATCATTTGTACAGTGTATTTGTATATATTATTTAGATTAGTATTTTATAAAATGTAAATTATTGCTATTTTGTTTAAAATTTTCTTTTGATCTGTCTATATGATAATTTTCCATCGCAAACTTCTCAAGTGATATGAGTTTCTCTAAGTTGAGTAAAAAGAGATTGGATGATGTCATGAGCCAATGTCATTGACGTTGCCTAGGAAAATAGCTATTTACAGATTATGGCATTGTCAGTTTGTCTTCAACTTATGAGTTTGAATAATCCTTTGGTATCTCCCCCTTTCTTAATCAATGATCTTTTAAAAAGAGGATATTTCTCTGCCTTATATGTTATATACTATTACTGTTACCATCTATTTTTCAATGGACAATCAATAATTATATAACTAGAAATAATTTGAAAAATCTTTCAGAACAAATTACTAATTTTGACTTTCAGACAGATGACTTTTGTGAACTCTGTCAAATAGATTCATCAATTATCTTTTACATTTTTCACTACATTATATCTAAGCCCTATTTTTTTTTCAATAGCCTTATTTATAAATTATAAAGAATGTTATGGATTATATTATTATTGGTGCATTTGTAGTGCTCAGCAGTTCTTTTTAAACAAAAAAATCTTATGATAAAATGTACAACACATATTTTTAAATATTGTTTTTGTGGAGAATAAACTTGATATTTTATTATAAGATTTTTGTGTGAAAAAGGCAACATATCCAGATATCTTGATTGCTCATATTGGTAAAATATAATAATAATATTAAGTTTATCTATGTTATGTACAGTAGAGAGAAATATTTATACAGATTCATGTGCCAATATAGAAGTCTATGCAAAAAAAAATCCAGTTTGTAATTGTGCAAACACACAATTATAAGGACACATTTTTGATGTAGAAAAAAATAGGTGTAAAAGATATTGTTGTTTAATATCCCCACCTCAAATGGAGAAAATTCAGTCATTTTGGACTATTGCTTCATTATGACTAGAGTTAACTAAATATTACTTAGTCTTTACTGTGATATAGTTATTTTATCAGTATTGTATATAATATATTTTTGTATTTCCTTATAGTATATATGTAACAGTACCAAGGATCCGGAAATTTTTCCAGACAATTTCGGTCATTTTGAGATGTTTGAAAAGTTGATGCCCCTTTTCAAATTGTCGATATCAACTTGACTATATTCATAGCATCAACGAACATGACGAACTTGTATTGCTGTTTCACCGCATTTACTAAGTAAATGTCTTACCATTACCATGAAGGACAGTTTAGGGAAGGCAACAGTCTAAAATTGAAATGATTTTAATGACTCAAAATGGTTAATTTCTCAGACATTGCTTACGTTTCTTTTGATTTGACAAAAGTTAAAACCGGAAGTTTGCGATATTTTAAAGTATGAATAATTCCGGATTCATTTCCGGGATTTGTTTTGTTTATCAAATTGACAGGAAATCACCGGCTTTTTTTATTTTATTACCTTTAAAAGTGTTTGAATATAACAGATAATAGTTGCACTCGTTTAATTTAGAATGAGATCAATTTGCATTTTACGATTAAATATTTTGGCTGAAGACAATTTCACGCATGCGTATTACACAGTAAATAAAGCGCATGTGTTAATACTCATGAAATAGTACTTTTTTCTACGTATTAAAATTTGGATTTAATATTTAAATCAGAATTGATGACTGTCTTTGATGAAAAGTAAATAAATAATGAATACACTTGTCAGGGAACTTTAATGTTTTAAAGATATTATTCTGAGCTTGTGATCACTGTCAGGTGTGAATATTAAAACCACAGGTAAAAAGTGATTAGCGATCATTAGCCAATGTTTCCCGGAGGCATTGATATAGATATTAAGAGGGCCCTCAGGATTATCAAACTACTGTAGTGGCAGTTTTATTACAGGAAAAGGATTATAAACAAAAACAAGTGATCAGAAATCCAAAATGGCGATTAAGAAATCCGATTTCAAACATTGAGTCAATGAATTGACTGAAATTACTTCTGTAAAAAAATAAAATTTGTCCTAAATCCCAATTACTCGTTTAGGACAAATAGTTTCATCTTAGGACATGACTGGCAAATATGACCGTTTCCGGACCCTTGAACAGTACTGTCAGATGTCCCACCAAGTCAGTGGTATTTACTTTTTCAGTATAAAATTTACAATTAATAGATTACTGTTTTTTTTTTCCATTTACAAACAACAAAAGATGTTGGTACAAAGTACCATTGTTTTTTTTTCATGTAAGCAAGTGTGGACACAGATCAGTGTGGATAGTAATTGTTTTACTTCATGTAAATAATTTGATGTATCCAGATAAGTAAAGCTGGATTTTAGTTAGAATTTTAAAAACACTGTCCTTTAGACAAAAAGGTGTAGAATATAGAAAGTGTGTCTCTCTTTTGGGTTTAACATTGTTTTTTAATTTTAATTTTCAATATGGCATTCTCAGTACGGACTAAATTTCTTTAAATAAGAAAACTTTAAAAATTAAAATCATTATAAATATAATTTGAAAAATAAGTTTAAATTTGAAATGCTAAGAGAATTAAATACTAGTAAATAAATTAATTCAGAGGAAAAAAGATAGCTAGAATGAAATAATATATATAAATAAATAAAAATATTAAAATAATAAAACAATAGAAATAAGAAAAGTAAAGTAAAAAAAGAAAGTGTTTCAGATGATCAGATAATTACAAATACATAAAGATACATTATTGTTTAAAGAATGTTTTTGCAAATGACTACTTACTTTCAATAATTTAGACATCGAATTTGAAGTTTCCGTCCAGAGCTATTAGTTGCTTTTCTAACTGTGCATTGTAAATTCAAATATGCTTTTTAGAATGTTTTAGTAAACTTTCTTAATAGCCCTGGAGTAAAGTTATTTGTTTTTCTATTGTTGAAAAGCTGAAAATGCTCAATTTTTTAATGGTCATTCCTAGAATTTCACCATTGTGGAATAATATATATATATATTATTAAAGATGAATAAATGCAGTACTGCAGAAAATATAATTTTCTTGAAAATGTCTAAGTTTGATTGTTTAAAATAAACATAAAATATAATTGTGTGACAGAAGAGGTGTACATGACCATGTTATATAAGATTGATAAAACTTCAAATACGAACAATTTTAGTATTTTGTATAAGAATTATGATAAAAGTTGAGTTTAAGATTTTTGTTTGTAATTCAGAAATTAATGCTAGGTTTTTATTAATGTGAATAATGTGACTCAGTGAGTATTGCAATAATAAGAACTTGCTGTCTGATATCTGATATGAAATATAGAGACATTCAAATATGCAACAATATTTGAGGAAACTTTATAAAAAAAAATGTATTCATAAGGATATTTAATAGAATCATTTTAAAAGAACTTCAGAAAAATATTTATAAAAATATTTTTTTTAATGAAAAACTTTGACATAACCTTCAGCTGTTTGAATTTACTCAACCCTATCTAAGAACAGCCCTCTTTTAAATACCTATAACGTATTATAAAAATTTAGGGAGTCAAACTGCATAATATTGCTAGAAAAGTCCCATACTCCATCACCCATTTAGTATTATTTAAATTTTCCCCTTTTCATGATTTTGTCACATATCATAATTCTTCCTAAGTTCAATAGTCAGATTATATAGGAACAATTAGTTCTGCTTCATTTGGCCTGTGACTAATACATTGAATTTATCTATTACCAGATTTGGACAAATTTTAAAACAAATTTGATTAAGACATGATTTCATTGTCTGGAACAGTTTTTCAAATAAATATAGGATATGTTCAAAAGTAAAAAGTCATTTATTTTATAGATTAAACCTTATTGTATGATAAGAATTATACTTTAATCAAAACAATATAATACTTTTCGTAATTTCAAAAGTAAAGAGGAAACCAAAGGCCATTTCATTAGGGAACAACCATTTAACTTCAAGGAGGGGGTTATGGTTTTTTCCTAAAAATATATTCTGATCCTCAATTTGATGAAAAAAAATATTGGGGTCAAGCAGATGACAAAAAGTAATTATCCTGAATCCAGATTTTCCCCATACCTTATACTGTTAAATTTTGAAAAAAATAATTTGATTGATAGCGTTGAAAAACTAAAAAAATGTTCGCCCTTTGCGTGAACAAAATATTCTGACTGGGACAAAATCCATACCCCCTTTGAAGTTAAATGGTTGCTCCATTAATACACCAAATTTTTTTGCCAGTGGAGGAATGTTTTACCTTGTATTTTTTTATGTCACAAGAGATAATATTTCATGTACGCGTTGGAAGTTCATCCAAATAAGTCATTAGTTTTAAAGTCTTGAGTACAATCTAGGGAGTGACAGGATAAATTCCTAAAGTGCAATTTAAAAGGAAATAAATGCATAATATGAATGTCAGATTTATATATTCAAATGTAAAAGTTTTAGAAAAAGAGCATAAATATATCAATAAGGCGATATTGACTTTCATAACGATATATATATATATGACATATGATATTATTGAAAACAATCCCAAGATTTAACAATTAGTCTCGTAATTCTTTGTTGCCTGCATTTCTAAAAAACATACATGTAAATTGTATATCTAATAATAATTTGTTTAGAAGGGCATTTTAATTTATTTTTATCCTTTCATCATGAACATATATTATTACAATTTGATAAGCTATTATTTTTATAAATTATACTATTATTTTTTATGAAGTTTGATTCTGAAAAAAGGGAAAAGCAGAATTTGAAAAAGAACAGGTTGCAATCAATTATGTGTTCTTGTATATCTTTTAAGTATGAAATTAAGATGTAAACATATATATGCAATACTTAAAGTAAGTGAAGCTGGATTCTAGATGTAAGGTTGATTAATTAATTGATTGTTGGCATTTTATTTTCCTCTTAATAATTGCTACTGTACAATATGCAAACAACAATCTATCATTCATAATATAAGACATTGATAATAATAGAAGATGTAGAAGTAATTTAGATTTATAATTCTTATCATGTTTAGAAATACATTTATGAAGACTTTTATTTAATAAATTGAAAGTAAAAGGACATTAATAATGACAGGGCATATAATTATATATTTTATTCCCCATAAAGATACCATTTAAATTGGTAATTGCAGTCTTCCAGATGCATAAGAAATACTTGCCTATTGCTATAGTTTTTGTATTTTTATATTATGAAATAATTTCATGCTTAAAATACTAAAGCCACATTTTTATCTTTTGTTAAATTTGATCAGCTGAGTAAGTAAAAATTATTTTGGATTGACTTTGAAAAGATCCAACTCAATATTTTCTATATGCAACACTTAATATAGAAAAATGAGCTCAGGTTCATAAATTCATTACCTGCTTCTTTCATTAAAAAAAAGATAAAAGGCCAAGTCCATGTTTTTTTCATGGGATTATTTGAAAATCTGTGTGTCTCAAAAATATGTCTCAAATATAAAACAAAAAGTGCTCAATTCCATTATGTACTGAAGATTTCCTGAAGATTCCAATGAAATCCAGTCATAGAAACAAAGTGGGAATGGAAGAGCAAATGAACAAATGGATTGGAGAATGAACATACTATTCACTATAATTCCCATTTTTACTTAGATATATGTCAACAGATATTTATTCTGCTGAAATTACTTTGGATCAATAAATAAGAAAATTGATAGTGGAATAACATATAACTTTTACAGAAGTTTATTTATCTATCAACTCTTCATATCCAAGACAAGACAAGTCAGTGTCTGAATTTTAGTAAAACTTTCAGAGAATTATTTGCACTTCATATTAAGCATTTTGAAACTGCTATTTGATTTTCTACCTTATCTGATATACTCCAATGAAAACATGGACTTTGTAAGAAATACAAAAGGAAAATGGCATGTTGTAGCACTAACTGTATTTCATATAAAGTTTTTCATAAATCTTCTGTAACTAATGTCATTATGGACCTCTTATTTAATTTTTTCGGTTTGAGTGATTGTTTGGATTTCCAAAAGCAATTTTTTAGCATTTCTGCACTAATGATTGGAACAGGATAATGATTTTGTGAGCTCCTCTTTAAGTTTTTCACATTTGGTTAAGAAATTAAGTGCTGCAGTTATTTTGACGTCACATAGCAGGCAAAATTGACAACAAATATTAGCAATTTCATAATGACATTAAGTTCACTTATGTACAAACGTACAAACATTATCAGCATAATATGAAAAAAGACAAAGAAATTTGAAAATTACAAGCTCAATAGCTTTAGTGTTTTTTTTTTATTATTATAGTTTTTGGTCTTTCATGTTTTGGCAATTATATTGTAATCAGGTTCAGAATTGTTTTGATTCTTTTTTAATTGTATATGATTTTGTTTATTTATAATTCCTTATTTAATTGTAATCTTCAACCTGTTTAGTTCATGTATATTATTAGAATTACAACCATCATGGATTTTTGGTTAAATGGTTGTGAATATTTTTATTGATGGCTCAACTGTTGTTAGCAACATTACATTACCAGTATAAACATTATCGATATCAGTTTCTAAGTAGTCTATATTCCTTCTATTCTATAGTTTGGATCAGAGAAACCTATCAGTGTTATATGTTTTTGTGATGCCAAAGACTGATGTATTTATGTTTCAAATAAATTTCCAGAAAAGAAAAAAATAAGAAAAGGAATTTTTAATTCTGTTTAAATTTTTTGTGGCATTATTATTTGTTTACAAGTACAGCTGAAAGAGATTCCAAAAGAAAAAGGGGTATGATAAGAACAATTTCTTGGACCCTTTAAAAACCAATTTTAGATTTAACAAAATCCCTCAGATATTTATTTATGATAATTTTTTAAAAGTCTGATATATATTTGCTTTAGGCATTATTTCTGCCATTTCACAGTCCAAATAAAGGCTCTTGTCACACCTAATCCTATATTATATTTCTCAAGCATGAAAAAAACCTTTTGTAGAATTGAGTTATCTATATGTTCAAGATGCAATCTAGTCTTGTTAATTTGGTCATTATAGTTTGTACATATCATTATCATGAGCCAACAAGAATAAAATAAATTCCATAAGGTTTTTTTTTTTTTTAGAATTGTATTAAATCGATTCATATTAATTAATAAATTCTATTTTTCATTAAGTAACTTTTCTTTAAGGCTAAACTGAACATGTTTGTAATATCTATGCATCATTTCCACAGATCACATAATTTTTGTACCATGACATGTTTAGCTGTTTACACATTGAAACAGTTTTTTTTCAAATTATGGCATTGATAAAAGTTTTGAAAAGATTGATGACCATGTTATCAAATTGACTATGTGAGCACCACTAAAAAAAATAAAGCATATGGGTATTTGATAAAACATGTGAAATAATGACGATTATAGATACCAGGTTCAGTGACTATCGTGAAATGAAAGTAAATTCACTAAATAAATGTATCAATGATGTGAAAAAATTTTGTTCTGTTGTTGCCTTTATGTAAACATGTTTATTTTATTATTACCGTACCATATAGGAAACTGGAATGTTCTATAAAACATGTATTTTCCTAATGAAAAATAATATAATTCCAGCCATTATTTCAATAAAATTGATTTCTTATTACGTTTTCAGTGTTAAATATATGCAGGTAAACAATCACCTGAAACTTTATATTCACAGACACCAGATTTTGTTTTGACATAATGATACATTCGTGTGTATCATTAACAGTAACACTCTCTGTAAGCAAAACTGCGTTTGTACACTTTAGCCCATACCAGCAGATTTCTTAAACTAGGGGCTCGGGAGAGATCTTTAATATTTTGGAAAAGTGACATGTTTACAATGATCCCGAATGACAGATTGCATATAAATTAGAACACACTGAGTCCTTTTATTTTATTTTATTTTTATAATTGTATTCTAACAACTTGCTCTTTGAAGGATGTGATAGTAAAGTAACATGACTGGAAAACAGTAACCTATATAGGATATTTAATCTTGTATGGAAATTATCATTGGTGCCCTATCTTTAATTTTACTGTTGGAGTAAATTGGTGCTAGTCATCAATAGTTTATGGTTAACGTGGATACACAATATTTATGAATAATATATGTGAATTATACATGATCGCCACAGCAACCCTAAATGTCTAGATATTTAGAGGTCAACATATAGTGTTCCAATATGAAAAGCTCATGATTTAATAATGTGACATAATTTTAAATCGACTGAAGACATTCTAACAAAGCTTTATAGATAAGAGGCAACAGGAGTTTTCAGATGTTCAAAATTCGTAAATATATGTTGAACCACCAACCAAAAGACAAAACCCTGAGGATGACGTCTAATGGAAGGTCTGCTAGTACGCATGCAGCACCAGATATCTCCGTGAAAAATGTCTAATTCAGGAAAAGAGTATAAAAAATATACCAAATTAAGGTAAATTCAAAAAGGGGAAGTCGATAATAACTTTAAAAATCAAACGTTATCAACCAACGGAACGAGTAAAAACAACTGTCATATTCCTGACTTTGTACAGAAATTTTCCAAAGCAAAGAAGAGAAGATAAGATGACTATACTGGTGTATTAAGATCTTTAACTATAAAATTATGTCTCTCCCCAGGAACATATATATTGACATAGATAGATATACTGTTCCCAGCTCTCGATCCCGAGTTAAGACAATGCTCATCGTCAAACAATTTTAATGGCGACTGTTAAACTTATGTATGATGTCTAATTCAGTCGTTCTTCCTCTTACTCCTGATGGAGTACACCTCTGAAATTGAAGTACGTAAATTGGGACCATGTAGGTGCGTCACTTATTAAATGAGATAGGAATACGCTATAGGATAGGATGGGGGCCTTGTGAAATGATTGTTAAAATTAGCATCTAGAGCAATATATTGGTATCGTAAATTTTATCAATACTGAGGAACATGAAGTTGATAAATGGGAAAACTGAAATCGTCATGTTTGTCATATACATCCTAGTTTTAAGTATTTCATATGTGTTAATTATAAGGAAAACAATTCTAAAAGTATTATGCAAACCCTCTAGTTTCAACAGTATTCTAATTTCATGTGTACTAGGGTAAATGAAATACAAGCACTCGCTTGGGTGGCAGGATATCATCAAGTAAAACTTAAAAAAATTGGCAATTGTTTATCATGTAAATACAAATACAAGTAGGTCATTAGGGCACACTTAGTACCCGTTGAAATACTAACTCAAGCCATTTTAACTGAAAAAATAACAACCACATAGTCCAGCACTTTCTTGATGTTGTGTTCTCTGTATTTGTTGTTTGAATCAGTGTGGTTCTTTACAACTAACATTTGTTTGTTACCTTCAAAATGAAATACGTATCTTCGATTTCAATTTCATTAGAATTAACAGATTTACTTATAAATGAGAAGGTTTGATCGATCTACTAATTGAGCGTGAGCTTGCGAAATTGTATTATACAGTTGGAAAATTAAGAAGTTTCAAAATTGTAATGGTTTCATCTAAGATTTTAGAATAGATCCTCAGAATCTTTTGATTTTATATCTAACTGGTACCGCCGGTTGAGTATACCTTATGACAATGTTTTTAATGCCATCTTTTACTGTAGAAAAAATGGTAGTAAGAATATAAGAAGGAAGATAAGTGGAACATTCTTTTAGGCAAAAATAGTTTACCGATATAGAAATCTTATAAATCAATTAAGAAGATACAAATCAAGGGACTCTAATGAACTACAAAAGTAGCGAGACTGGATGAAAGAGGGTACGCGTCTCCTGCTATACATTCATCTACACTAGCCTGCTTTAGAAGATTCATTTAATGATCTGGCTAAATGAATATACAGCCAAAACAGGACTGAGCTTTCAACACTACCTGCATAATCTGAAGAGATATCATAAACTTCAATGACTATCAATGTTGGTGTATTAAAAAGAACCTTGCGTATCTATCAGATAAAACTCATCAAATATACAAGGCTGATAATTGTGCATGAAACTCATCGATCGAATTCAAACAGCTGGGAATGTCAATTAAAATACGAAGTTGAAAAGCATGAGAACCTAAAATCAAAAGATTGAGCATATGGTATTTGATAAACAATGTTTAAGAGAATGACTGCATCAATGATAGTTCCTGTCAGGAGTGCTAACTACAGGGCAGCTGACGTCCGCCAGCAGTGACATCGACCTAGTGGTTGAATAAACAAATCAAAGAAACCAGGCTTTAAATTTAGTACACGAGAAGGGCTTTTAGTTACGCTCGAATTAAAACAGTTAAAAATGCCAAATAAAATATCAAGTTTAACAACAGATATGTTAGATGTTGAGATAAAACTGCAAAATACCTGGGGGTAAAAAAATCTTATTGTGTCGAGTAATAATTCAATAAATTTTCAAATAAAAGTAAAAATGAACCGGGAGCTGTTTTGAATTTTGAATAATGTTAAAATTATGTTATCACACCGTTTACCTTTCCCCAAAAGTGTAACGTTTCTCCAATGGTTGCAGATAACATCCTCCTTTTAGAGATAGCTTAACTTTAAATACATATAGGAATATACACACCATAAATAATTATGAGCATTAGAAACAAATGGAAACCGGTTTAGCATAAATCTTGCCCGTAGTTTTGTTTGTGGTGAGTCTCTTTTTTTCAAATGATATGGTCACTCAATTAATGTCAGTATTTGGTAGATATGTTCCATATGTTCACAATTTGTTGATATCACTCTGCAGCAGTGCTCTTTAGTACACAGATGTAGCGTGACTAAAATAATAATAGAGTTCTGTTCAAACTGGTGGTAGATGCTGTCTTGAAATTGCTTTGAGTGTGAATGTCTGATCAGTGTTACCCTCGCTGGGATTTTGAGATGAAGAAAAAAAGTCTTTTTTTTTTATTCTTCGAAGTATATGTAGGGATTTTGTGTCACGAATCAATACCCCATATTCTTTCGTAAAAAAAGAGTAAACAATAAAGGCAACAGTAGTATACCGCTGTTCGAAACTCATAAATCGATAGAGATAAAAACAAATCCGGGTTACAAACTAAAACGGAGGGAAACGCATCAAATATAAGAGGAGAACAACGACACAACAAAAACACAACATTAAAATGTAACACACACAGGAACGAACTATAATATAACAATGGCCATTTTCCTGACTTGGTATAGGACATTTTAAGAAAAAAATGGTTGTTTGAACCTGGTTTTTTGGCATGCCAAACCTCCCGCTTCAATGGCAACGTCAAACACAACACCAAAACGACGACATCACATGACAGGACCACAATACAAATAAATGGGAGAACATATAGAACAAAGAAACACACGAATAATAGCTAACAAAAGGTACTAGGCATAAAATTCAATACGCCAGACGTGCGTCTCGTCCACACAAGACCCTCCAGTGACGCTCAGATGAAAAAAGCTTGAAAGCCAAAACAAGTACATAGCCGAAGAGCACCGAGGACCAAAACTTCCAAAAAGTTGCGCCTAACACGGCCAGGGTTTTCTGCCTGGGACAAGAACATCCTTATTATTTAGAATAATTTATACTTTTGCAAACAGTAAATTTTATAAAATGACTTTATAATAGTTTAAAACAAATCAAATTAAAAAAAACAAACCATACTTACAAGCAAGAAAATATACACACACACCCACAAATATACAGAAGAAGACCAATAGTCTGAATGTGTGTGCTTCCATCTTTAAAACAAGAAAAAAAAATGATAACTTTAATGGAAAAAAAAAAAATGAACAAAAAATGATATTTATCAATACATGTATCTTTATATGTAGCCGTAAGAGAAACTACTATAAAATTTTACAGGCAGTCGACATAGTGGTTACATCTTCGTCCTACAATGAATGTTTTCATAATTTATTTTTTAATAATTCAAATTAGAACAAATATGACTCCTTGAAGCATGAACCAAAAATATAAAAATAACCATAACGCAAATTAATACACTGTCGAATTACAGCCATTACGGGTTGAATGCAGTTTCACTTTAATACATATGAAATCCAAGAGTCATAAAATAATAATCGATTGCCGGTTTCTTTTGTAAATAGGATCTTTAAATTTGAAAAAAACCCTTCTGTTTTAACAGATACTGTATATTTGAGTATGCGAAGTTATCAAGACAGCGAATTCATTAAAATTAACGTCATAAGGGGTATATAAATAAAAGATCATGCATCTAAGTTTTGACTAACGGTATTTAAATATCTTCAACATCGAAATGGGTGACAATTTATCATTTATTACCATCATTTAAATAAAACAATAATATCAACCCACTGATGCTTGACTTAAACAATTATAACTTAACTTTTAAAATCCAACCACACGTGAGGCCTTGATACTATCTCTACAGGTCTAGTTCTGTCATGGAGACGCTGTGTCACAGGCCACAGATCTGATGGGGATTACTGCCAATTAATGGAGTCAATGTTAGAATTGGATAAAGGATAGATTGCAGATTTGCAATAGTTTTAAGGTAAAATTTATAATAGCTTTGTTAAAAAAAAACAACCCTAAAGAAAGTCTTTATTTAAAACAAGTGTGAAATTTTGAAGTTTAAAAATTGCATTTGTTATTCTCATCATGAATAATACACACAAAACTTTTCTATATATTTTGTTTTTGTTTACCTGTCTGTTCTGAAATAAAAACAAAAAAAACCCCCGAGATTCAGGTTAAATCAAAACAAATCTATTCAGACATTTGCATGAAAGGATATTTATGTCTTGATTTGTCGTTGTTTTTTGACAGTAATTATTGTAGAGAATTACTTATTTATTTATAACAATTTGTCTTTGCAAAATGTCACAATGATATCAAAATGTAGCGACATATCTGCATGCAACACAATACCAAATACATATAGTTAAAACAACGAATAAACGACTGAAGCTCACGATATGTTTTCTTCATCAATAAATGTAAAGTTAAACCCCATTAAAGCGAGTAAAAACTAAAACACATGGAGAGCTTAAAAAAAAGACCCATAAAGGCATGTGGAATCTCATATTGTATTGATAGTTTAAAAAGATCCTACATGGAAAGTGTAAACAGAATCCCCCCCCCCCCCCCCCCCCAAATATATGTGAAAAGTCATTTCCTATAGCATATAGAGTTCGAAAAAAACCCAGACAATTGCATATTGCAATGAAAATACAAAAAAAATAGCAATGTTAACCATGGTTAGCATCTCAATACAATATTACAAAATTTTATGCAGCAAGTGTATAATTTTAGAAGTCTATTGTCAAAAAAACTTAAACCAACATATTGCAAATTCAAAAATATAAACTGCTTACTAGCAAATAAATCTGAAACACCCCGCAAAAAGGATACGGCGTTTACCGGTTTACGAATTAATTGCATCATCAACCTCAAGTGAAAGTTGGTACCAAACAATCATTAAATACAAAAATACAAAAAGTAAAATTGGATACAGAATAGACTCATACGGTCATGTTTTCCTCTGACTGTTTTTCGCTGAATGACGTCTTTACAGTAAAAGCATTGGATGTTTTATATGTGCTGGTTGATACTTTAGTCTTTGATACGCCCGCTAACATGTTTAACGCCGCCACATTTTATTCTGTATGTGCCTGTCCCAAGTCAGGAGCCTGTAATTCAGTGGTTATCTTTAGTTGCTGTATATCATGTTTGCATTTTGTTCATTGTTTTTACATAAATTAGGCCGTCATTTTTCCCGTTTGAAATGTTTTACATTTGTCATTTCGGGGCTTTTTATAGCTGATTCTGCGGTATGGGTTTTGCTCATTGTTAAAGGAAGTACGGAGACCTATTATAGTTGTTAATTTCTATGTTATTTGGTTTCTGGTGGAGAGTTGTCTCATTGGCAATTATAACACATCTTCTTATTTGTATATCTAGTTCATATAAATTAACAACCAAGAGTAAATACTAAAGAAATTCGTATTTCAACAGAATAAAAATTAAAATATTTATGAAATTTGTGACAAAATGAATTCAAGATTTTGTGAAGATTGCTCCGAAGTTAGCCTATTTAACTATATATACTGGGTATGAACAATCCCCAATGATTTTTATAACTTTGAAATCGAAGTTTGGATTGTTAAATTTATTTTGATATTAACAATATCCAAACAATACAGAAACTAGAAATATTTGTAAAGAATAATGGTTGTGAAATTCAAATTACGTTCCATTACGAGTCAATTTAATGCCTATAGGTCTTTAAGAACAAAATCATTATTTCAATAATTCATTCATTCATTTTGCACTATTATTATAGTCATTATGAACTTTAAATAATCGCATCACAATGCAAACTTTAATTTATTTATGAAGAATATGCGACAAATGATGTCGTTACATTTAAAACAAAACAAATACCGTCTGAAGCGATGTATGGGTGTGTTGTGGATCAGCATGAATAAGTTATTAGAATATATATGTAATAAACTGTATATTAGTAAGCTAAGTAAAATCTTTAAAGTGAATGAAGATTCTAATCATACCATTAGTATGGATAGTGACTACCGCCATAATTCATCACTACACGCTTATTTTATTGCAGACTCCCCATTTAATTTATCTATTAGTCAAAACTTCTTCCGTCTGGTATGTTGCATAAGCCTTCATGGCATTATCTTACTTAGTATCACCTTACTATGTTTTGCATTACCTCTTTATTACTAATGTACACATTCGTTTAACATGTTTATGATCAGACAAGTTCACTCATTGATACAGATCATATTTACGCTGGTGTTCAACATGAATATGCCAATTCGTAATGTAAAATTATATCACAGTACAAAATCGATTGGATATATCAAAAGAAGCCTTCCCGATGGTATAACCCTTTGGATCATCAGTGCGCATGCGCCTACATAAAATATCATTAGTTAATTCGTCATGTTTTGTAAATTTTCTGTACATTATACCTTAAACTGAAGTTTTTCTACCCCGAAGTATATATTGCCTTAGCCAGATTAGACAAAACGACATGGATTTTTTTTTGTGTTTCAATTCTCTTCAACCTCCTACTTGATTTGGTGTTTCGACTGTTTTGCATCCGGGCGTAACTCATGCGTCTTGTGTAGACGAAACGCTCGTCATGCGTATGAAATTATCCGTATTAGGTTTTTTCATACTGTCGAAGAACAGCGGATAATTATTTGCACATTTTTATATCAGGGCTAAAACAGATATTGTTCGGTTGTTGTAATGTAGGCTAGTTTAATTTTGCACCGTCATAATTGGATTGGTGTATTTGTTTAAATAATTTGCATATAACATTGTTGTTGGCCTTGTCTAAAAAGTAGCAATCATTTCTATAAAATCAAACCATAAAAGACCTGACATATACAACTTCAGAGAAAATAAACGAGGCGAAAAGGTTCGTGAAGAGCGAGACAAAGAAAAATGGTTATTTTCAGAGAATCGAAATTCTAAAGACGCCTACTTCATTGTTTTAATATTTATTTCAACACATATTATAAGTTATGTGTACTCCTGCGAACCAGTTAGTAGGATGAAAGTGTACTTAACATGAAGCTGATGAATGAATGAGTGGATGGGTGCCACATGTGGATCATGTTGAGCAGGATCTGCTTACCTTTCCGGAGCATCTGAGATCATCCCCAGTTATTGGTGGGGTTCTCTCAGTCTTTGGTTTTTTATGTTGTTTTGTGTACTGTTGTTTGTCTGTTTGGTCGTTGTCAATTTATTTTCAACTTATGAGTTTGAATGTCCCTTTGGTAGTCTTCGCCTCTCTTTTGAAAGTGTTGCAGTGTCTATGATGAAAGAAAAAAAAAAAAAAACCAATTTAAGTGTTAAGAAAACTTTTTATTTTTTAGAACATTTTATGGTTAGCTTAAAGATAACAGTGTAGCTTTTTGATGTCTTTATACAAACATGAAACAAAGTTTGTCATAAAGAGCGTTGAAAAACCTCACTTAAGTTACAAATTAATGCATTAGAAAGAAAAATACTATCAGTCACAGTAAACAGCATAGATACCAGGAATACAAAGACAACATGTAACACTAAAGGAAGAAAGATAAATAAAATTCGGAAACTATAATACAATAATCATGAGTATAATTATGGCGGTTAACCCCTTTCATTCATCTGATAATCCATAAAACTTGACCTTAAAGTAACAAAAAAATAATGTTTATAAGAATTGGAATTTTGTTGATATCAAAATTGATCCGGCGGAATTCATCACGATATCGATTCATAATATCAACGTTCACTCAAACAAGTTACATTTTCAAATAGCTAATACTTAAGTCTAAATTGAATGTACCAGTCGCAACACATATTGGATATCGCACAAGTCTTTTGATTGTTGAGTTCTGTAGAATGATAAGTATTTTCGTGACAATATTAGCAATGTTAGTGACGACTGAATTGACACTGCACACGTTTTGCGGTCACATAATGAGTAGGCCGACAGATACGATGTGTCGGTGTTCCAATCCACGAGAGACGGATTTTCCCGGTCTATGATCCTAGACACCAGAACATTCTTCTCTTTTGAAATTTACTGATTATATCCTATTCTCTTCATGTCACTTTGACTTAGCGTAAATTCGCATGAAGGGTAATTCGAGCAAATCAGGAGACGTTTACCCTGTAGACTATTCCGGTCGCTCCATTTGGAGTTCACGCGCTTGGGTCTCTTAATGTTCTTCAACTTTGTACTTTATTTGGCCTTTTTAACGTTTTTGTTTCGAGCGTCACTGAAGAGGCTTTTGTAAACAAAACTCGCGTCTGGCGTACAAGAATTTTAATCCTGGTATATATAATGAGTTTATTCGCTCATGCCTTTTTCTTTGTTGGTATATTCTGAATTGATTTAGAGTTTATAACATTGGTAAAACAACTGTTTGTTTTTACTTTGAAAGAAACCCTTTATAAAGTGTGTGCATCCGAAGCGTTTTTTTTTTTGATTTTTGTCATCATGATTGCTCAAATCAAAATATTTCAAAGCCAGGGCTGCGTAAATATCTTGCAACATAAACAAATATTTTTTAAAAAGGGCTATAGAATTCAGCAATACAACTTCATGGAAATCAAGATAAACTATAAATTACATGGAACTAATTATCTAATTACCTAAAACAAAAATGTCATATAAAGAACGGCCAATTTACAACAACAAAGGAAACGCAAAAACCCATAGCGCTTCAATTATTACCCCCCTCCCCGCCCCCCCCCCCACCCCAATATCCTCACATAAGGTCGACATAATATGGTATTTGTTTAATGTCCAGGGATTTATTCAAAGTCAAGTCTGCTTTCTCATAATTTTGAAAAGCAGTTTTATTGAAAATGTTTTAAAATTCATATATCTGTTATTACATTATAAATCAAACAAAAGTACTTTTGAACTCCAATTGAAATTTCGAGAAGTGAAATAAGTCAAACGTTATCACAAATATCAAAAGATAAAGAACGTTTACTAGTAAGTATCTAAGAGTATGTCTGGTAGGTAATTCCGAGTACTTGTATAATATATCCGAGTGCACTTGAATTTTGATATTACATTTTTATGCTAAGCTCTTGAAAGTTTTATTAGTTGATCGTATGCAAATGGTAAACTTGATACACTTGAGGAAGGCGGTCTCGAGCTGAATAAAATATGACGCAAGTCAGTACTTACTATATCATTTGTTTTAAGTTAAAACATAAGTAATAATAAATAATAAATTATTCATTGTGTTGAATTAACAGTTTGTAGTATATCCAGTGTATTATTACTCGTATATATTATAATCGAACGAATATATCTGTTTTGTCTTTGAGAAGTGTATAGTTGACTGTTTTCCCTTTAAGCCATGATGGTGTCTTGATCTTTATTTTGAATTATGGTTTAGTTTCTTCCAACTAGAACAAACTAAAAAAAAAGAAAAAATAAGTACCCAGCAATAAAAATGCATGTCTTATTTCATATACAAAGTACAATTTACACGGTTTGAATGTATATTACATCCTCATATTTTTCAACGTAAGTATGTACTTGGTTAACAATGATTTATCTTTTGTCATACTTGTTCGATATACAAACACGACATCAATATTATTACCAAATTAAATTGTTACAAAATCTGATTTAAATTCAACGGAGAAGAAAGATCTGCACAATGAATAATTTGGTGAATATTCCATACAATGAGAATTTAAATTACAAACTACTGTTTATGTAGTGCAAATTATTCGCAACTTCGTAAATGGGATTTTATTTCATTAGATTAAGTACGTATTTATGGACTTAGTTATTGCTAGTTTTTTTGATAAATTTGTGTGATGAATATGGGAGGGATTAAATTTGGCGGTGCTATATGTTCCTAAATTGTACCCAATAATATCTAATTGACTTATAATTTGTGAAATACGAAACAACGAACGAATTTATTTCATCAATGCAGAATAAAAAAAACGTTGTATTGACTTATTCTCGAAAACGTTATTCTTTTGTTTTTGTATTGGGATCATTACATTTGTGTATACATTTACAGATTCAGATTAGTGTCCTGACAGGTATTACGAAACATAAATTTCACGATTGTAATACTCAATAGTACCAATGCCAGTCGGCACAGACGGACCAACTGTTCAACCACCGAGGCTTTCATCGCCGTCAAAACTTCCAGCCCAATTTGAAATAAATGAAGAAGATGAGTTGATGAACATTAAACCCGAGGATAGTGTCTCGGAAACAAAATCAAGAAGGTCATCGAAAGATACTTCAGGTCTTATAACAGACCTCACAAGGTTAAAAGCTATTACTGGCGATGACCGAATCGGTGACCCGTTGTATGTTACAGAATATAGACAAAAACTACCAGATCTTACACAAGAAGTTATAAAAGAACGAACATTTGAAGGAGATGAGTTTGAAATACGTGGGTTAAGTGGTGCTGATTTGACAAGACATTTACAAGATGAATATATAGAAGATGCTGCTGATGGCAGATCTGATGTGTTCGAGGACAATGAATCTAATATATCATCGTTGGAAAGTGACGATGAAAAAGCCAACGAAGAATATGATACAGACTTTGATCCAACAGAGGCTGATAGTGAGTAAATGTTTAAAAAAAAGTGAACAAATATCATTGCTGATGTATTCCTTATCATAGTTAGACATATTCGCGACGTTATATATCATTTTTCTAATCGACAAAATAATGCTTTAACAAATCGCTCGTTAAAATAAGTTGGTTTAAAATATTTGCACCGAATCCGTTTTGAAAACACAACATACGTATTCTCATTTGCAAGCAAAAAGTATGTGCAATACTTTATTAGGATTATGTTTTCCACCAGAATCGAACATAACACATAAAACACACGATAAAAATAATAACAACTGCATCGTTTAACGTTATTTAATAATCGGGTGCCAAATGTGGAGCAGGATCTGCTTACCCTTCCGGAGCACCTGAGATCACCCCAGTTTTTGGTGGGGTTCGTGTTGCTTAGTCTTTAGTTTTCTATGTTGTGTTTTGTGTACTATTGTTTGTCCGTTTGTCTTTTTCTTTTTTAGCCATGGCGTTGTCAGTTTATTTTCGATTTATGAGTTTGAATGTCCCTCTGGTATCTTTCGCCCCTCTTTTAAAAAAGAAAATAAACTGATATTGTCACCCATATATCAAAATATTGATGACGAAAAGTAAAATAACAAAAATACCGAACTCCAAGGAACATTCAAAACGGAAAGTCCTTTACCAAATGATAATATTAAAAACTGAAACACATCAAACGAATGCAAAACAACTGTCATATTCCTGACTTGGTACAGGCATTTCCTTTTGTAGAAAATGGTGGATTAAACCTGGTTTCATAGCTTACTAAACCTCTCAAGCTTAATTGATCATATGGATGTTAAAAACATTGATTTGCGATATTCAAAAATTGTTTTCTTTTATATCAATTTTACACTTTTATATCAAGTTTCTTTCTGTCGGTATTTATACAACTACTCCAGATGAAAAAAAAAAATAAATTATTGTTTTTTCTTCCATAGGACTGATTTACCCAGAACGATATGAAACTGACCCAAATGGTGTAGGATTATATGAACGCCATTGTGAAGAGATTGGTGTACAGCCCATTACCTACTTCATCAAACATATGCAGGACACAAATCTTACAATGAAATTTCATGGACTAGGACCTCAAGGAATGCGTGCTATTGCTGGCAATATAGAGGTAGGAATTGTGTCTAGATATAACTATCGAAAGTAATTTTCTCATTAACCTTGCTATTAGACTATTTCGAAGTACAGATATATTCATACTAAATGAGTTAGTTTATGATTTGAATATATTTTTTTTAACACACGGTGTGTCGGGGGGTAGTTTGTCGCATGTTTATGTTAGTTCGTACTTCTATTTTAGTGTTGTCTGGTATCAATGATCCTGTTCAAAAAAAGAACCTGTGCACAATGCATGACTAAACTCTTTTGTTTTTTTGATGTTTGTCTATCTATTGACGAGTACGACTTATCCAACAAATGAATATAAGAATCTTTTTTCTAAAAAACGAAGTTTCCTTGAAAAAAATACAAAACAGGTAATAACATCGCATTAAAACCGATTTAATAAAAAGGAGAACAAAATAAGTCAGTTCACCATAAAAAAGACAGTCATAAACGACAATATAAAAAACAATTTAAGTACTGTTAACTAGTTCTCTTCCACAACAAAAAATGCATATATATGACAAATCAGTGTTGCTCAAATAATACAAAAACCCCAGATAATCAAATCAATAACGAAGATGAGGGCATTGAAAATCAACAATTTCAAAAGAATTTGCGATATCTGGATAAGTCCATCGATGAAAACCCTCAATGTTTCGAAAGATTTTAACATTTTGAGAACAGTCAATGAGCTGTCATACAATTGAAAGGTTTAGCTTGCTATGAAACCACCATTTTCTACATAAAAAAGCCTGATCCAAGTCAATTGTTTTCCATTTGTTTGATATGTTTGAGTTTTGATTTTGCCATTTGTGAAGGGATTTGCCGTTTTGAATTTTCCTTGGAGTTCGGTACTTTTTGTTATTTTACTTTTTACAGAACAGAAATTGACCACATCATGGATATTTTAATCTGAGGTTATATAATTGATTCACCATGTGTGTAACATTTATACTTCAGTGTCTACTTATGCTAAGACTATTATATTTATCTTATTGGTTACAAGTATAGCCCTGTTAATGAACATCCCTTATATAGTCATACCATTACAGTATCATATAAATTTAAATGAATCAATGCGCCTACCTTCAATTACATATTTCCGAATCTAATCATGTCATAAGAGTATTGTTCAATGTTATTGGCTGTAAGTACTATTATTTTATAAGACATTTCCGTATCTAATCACATTATAGGAGTAATATTTGGATTTTCCAGCGTTCTTGCTACTCCTTTTGGAGTTAATGCTCGTCTCTAAGTTTTCTTTTTAGGCTTGATTTGTGTCTTATTAATTGAGTTAGGAGGTTTGAAAATCGGAAAACTACTTTGCCTCAAATAATTTGTTTTCATTTGATTGAACGGTTAACTGCCATTCAGAACGACATTTTTCTGCATACTAAAATATCATAAAATTGCTCTTTCATTAAAGTAGGATTGGTTGAAGTGCCACACGACAGCTCACATTTCCACATCAGATTATTCCACACAATTATTGTTTTGATCGCATTGGTTGTAAGAGTCTCTGAATAACTGTCCACTTCGATATCATATCACGTTATGAAAAAACGATCTGATTGGTGATAAATGCCTCTCAGAAACCGTACATTTCTGCATTTTATGTCACAGCAATAATATTTCAAATTGATTTGTTACAATCTGGTGACAAGCGCCTCTTTTTAACTTAATAGTCTCCATATAATTGATATAAAAATCTAATCTAATGCATTGTCACTACAGTTATATATATGTTAATTCTACATATCCGTGTTTCTACATTTGAAAATTTAACAGCTTTTTCATAAACTTAAAAGGAATAAAATATACATAAACAACTATGAAAATGTTGAATACTGTATTAAACGTATATTTTTCACATCTTATCATGTTACAAAAATATCATTTCAATCTTAATCTGAAAAGACTCTCTCAATAACTTCAAATTTTGAGGATCATTTGTCAAAATTTGATTTTAAGTGTAAATTAAAATAGAATGCTGCAAAGATGAATTTTCTTTCATATGGGATACTTTCAAAGTCCAACGATGCATTAACATCTAAGGAATAATTTCACAAATATCGGATAATAAAAGGAATAGCGAAAACCATTAAAGGTTGCAGTCGTTTTTTTCATATTTTTTTTTATCTTTTTAGAAATTATATACTGAAACATACTTAATTAATTCTAATAATTCAATACAAAGTTATCAGATATCAATATAAATTTGCTTAACCATATGCGACAGAAAAGAAAGAGATTAAATATAGTTGAAACTCGTATTTTAATTTTTCCTAGAAATATTAAACTACAATAGGTTTAGACATTCAATTAATTACTTTTTGCTTATAGTCGTTTGCAAAAGATTTTAAAAAGTTAATGCAGGCACTAAATTCTTAATTTACAGTATGTCTATAATGCAGCTAGTCACCAACCGAAAGATAAAATTTTATATTTAATTTGTAAATAAAAATCCAGCCCGTTGCAAGTTAAGGCATACTATTGTAATATTTTTTTGCAAGTAAAAGAAAGATTTCCGTTGCCAATTTATGTGTATTTTTTTTCATAGATTAACACAGTGACAGAGAGAATCGATTTAGAGGGTAATTACATTCTCGGGGAAGGTGCAACATATCTCACGAGAGTATTGAAGGACAACTCCTACGTATCCGAGCTGGTAAATGCTTAACTTTATATTTGATGCATTACATTTTATAATAAGACAATTTCAGAAAACTACTTTTCAAAGATTTCGATGACGAAAAAAAAAGATACACATTTTTCGTCGGATAATTTTTGGAAATCCAATTAAATAAACTGATTGTACAAATATATACATCTTTATAATGTTATAAGTTAAATTTTAAGCAGAAAAAAATTGTTTTTAGAAATATGTACAATCAGATTAAAAATTTATTAAAACTTTCCTTGAAAATATGCAGGCTATTCTCAGCAAAACTGTTGTTAAAGCTGACAAATGAAGAGTTTATAATATTTTTAATGTGATTTCATGCGAAATGAAGTGGGCAATTTTGTAATAAAACTGAATTATGGCAAGTACTTGGAGTATCTCCATACAGACACAATAAAAATGTGCCGTACTATAATCTATGTAAATACTCATCAAAGTTAAAAAAAAATCGTAAATATTTATTGTTTGTGAATTATGTCACCACAAAATGACGTCACTACATACAAGTGTAAGTTGTTTTAAGAAATAAAACGATTTCAACAACAATTGCAGCAACATAGTGTATGCTTACTCTGAATAAAAAATCAGTTTCTGAAATAATAAGGACACTCAGAAAAATTGATCAATTCTAAAACAATTTACATTCCAGAAATAGTAAAACGATGTTCAAACTATATTTTTGATAATTTTCCGTTAAACCTTAGTTCTAATTCTGAAAATTGAATATTTGTCGCTATTTATCTTTTGAAATATGATGTTCAGCAAACCATTTGAAACATCTAATGCGCGTAAATTGAACGAAAAAGGTGAAGCAAAATATTCATTTTATTGGTTACATACAAATTTAAGATTATTTTGTATATAATTTCAGGTATTGTCTGAAAACAAAATAGGATCAGAGGGAGCTGTGGCACTGTGCGAATTATTAACCAAAAATAAAACCATTATTCATTTGAATCTAACAGGTATTTTATATTCTAATGCAATTATTTTGTATCAATGGTTCTGATTGGATGATAATAGTCGTAAAATTCTCTATCTCCCTGTCTGTAACTAAGAAAGCCGACATTTCTAATTCTTGAATGTATTGACATTTAATTTCTCCAGTAATAAGCAAAAAACTCACATTTTGCACCTAGCATTCTTCTTTTTATCAAATTTTATTACACTCTGGAGCGGGCAAAAAGCAAGAAAACGCCCGTTTGATGACAGGAGCATACCTATGACGTCACATAATTATGCGCTAAAGAAGATAACAATATTTCGCAGAATTTTCGTTTCGCCAGGTAAACTCAATTTGCGAAAGTAAAACTACCGATGGACGTCCGCAAAGCTTCAAATACAATACAGTTATCTCTAGAGTAGTACTATTTATTGTGTAAATTATATCTTACAAATGAAAGTTAGTATCTTTCGCCCCTCTTTTAGAATATTTACAGTTGGTGTTCAATTCATACAGTCACTGATTTCTTATTGGTTGCAAGACGAATTACATGATTTCGTATTGTGTTTTAATCTATGTAAATGCAACTCAAGGACGGAAGTTTTAACTCCACCCACCAAATAAAACAACATTAATATCATACTTTGTTCGTGTACTTGACGTAAATGTTTAATTTTTAAGGAACTATCTACTTTGAAATGAATATCTCGCAAATTCAAGTTTCACCATTATTACTTTAGATGATAGTGCTTTAAACATTTCTTCAGAACGTTTGCGTTCAAAGTAAAAATGACGAGAACATATATATTTTATTTCGAATATCTGTAAACATAAGACTCAACCTTAATGTTTTTTAATGAAGTTTTGTAACAGTCACATATTTAACAAGAAGATGCAATATTTGAATTTCAGTTGCTTTCATTTCAAATAAACTTTCAATTTAATTTTGTTAGTACAAAATCTTATGTCATCATAACTTATTGGGAAAAAATAAAAACACCAGAAGAATAAGAAAAAAAGAAAATAAACCTAAAAAAAATAGTAAAAGGACTATTATTATTTCTATACAGAAATTTTGAATAAACCATAATTGTTATGAATTTCAGGGAATGAAATAGATGATTCAGCTGCTGATGCATTTTATGACATGCTAGTGGTAAATATATGTGTGTTGTCTCTTTTAGATTTACTGACATATAGTAATCAATTCATACTAGAATTTAAAAAACTAAATTACTTTTACTACAGTCAAATATTCTACGTTTAAAACACATATGATATATTTGATGAGTTTTTACACCCACTTGTTCGATGCCTCTACAGGTGGACGAGGGAATCACCATCCCAGCAAGCAGCACTTCAGCGATGACATGAACTATCTTTATTACGATCATTTATTTGCAGTTAACTGTTTATAAAAAAAATTGAATTATTCGAAACACTAATGATTTCTACTCCAGGCAAAGATGAGTGTAGCCATATTTACAAACAAATTAGGAAAATTTCTTTATTCAATATTCTCATCAACTTCGTACTATATTTGGTCTTTCAATTACTTTGATTCGCACGGAAGCCGGTTATGGCAACTGAAGAGTCTTATGTTGAAAAAAACATGCGTTTGGCTAACCAATTTATAAGCCTAGTATATTTCATGAGTTTTCAATTATAGTGGACTGATTTGGTGTGTATACGATGACCATCATTTAAGAATAGATCCGGTGATAAATATTAATTATCTTTAAAATCGATTAATATTGATAAATTTTATGATCTGTAGCAAGAAACAGAAGCTCCCTGCAAAAAAAAATTAAAAACACTTTGTCCGTCAATTCGAATGTTTTTTTAGACTTCTTCTTTTAATTTGAAGTGATCTTATATGTTACTTTAAATAACACGTACTGTCTTGCAGAGGATAATTAAGTTTCAATCAATTTATATTTTCTGTCGACGTAGATATGCATCCCACCTGCAAAAATCAGAAAACTCGCTTTTTTCCCTGTTTTAATAAAATAAAATCAAACTGATTAGTAACAAATGGAAAAACGTATTTGTCTGTAATAAACGACATTAAGCTATATCTACGAAACGCAGCCACATTGCATAAAACATGTAAATTTTCAGGTGACGGTAACTTTTCGTTAACCAGTTTCCCTTGCAAATAATTCATTGCATTCAAAATGTTAGTCCAACTATTATTGTTATAGTTTTTTTCTTCATCAAAATAGCTTTTAAAACAAGTTCGATAGTAAACGTACATGCGAAATTTTCAATAAAAAGGATATTAAAGATATGTTGCTTTTCTTGTAAAGATTTCAATCTAACTAATTTTTTTTTCTAACCGAGAAACAGTTGTAATTAAGAAAAAAAAAAGATGAAGACAACACTTTTAAATTTCATGCGCCAGGAGCGCCTTTCTGGACCTACATTCATCAGGAAATCCGAATACTTGAAAGCCAAGGATATATAAGAACCGAAACAGTCGAAGAGCTATGCAAGGAAATAACAAATATATGTTTTTTTCAGGCAAACTCTGAAATTAAAACATTGATTTTGAAGCATAATTGCTTTGAAGAGTACGGTGCTGATTGTTTCTGTAAGATAATGGATGAAAATGTGACATTACAAACATTAGATCTCAGCTGGAACCACTTCCAGACCAAAGGTTGTGCTGCACTGGCTGAAGGGATTAAGGTCAGTCTGATAATAAAAAAGTAGTAAATAATAATAACATAATTTTTGTAAGACTTGACAAGAATTTAAATCTGAATGTATTTTTAAGACCTCAGTTTGTGTTTAAGTTATATATTTTTTTCGTCATCTGTTTTCTATTCCTTTGGCGTATAACATGTATATGTTTGTAATTAATGAACAATGTGTTACTCCTTCACATTACGAAAAAAACGCAGATGATTGCGTCAAATACTGATCTTTTTTTCAAAAACAAAAAAACTGATATCAAACAAATGATAGAGACGTCCAATTAGACATACGTATTCTGCATTTGTAACGACCTTTTACTTGCTTGTGTGTACTGAACGGGAGATAAACTTAGTCCTAGTCATAAAAGTTATATAGGAATCGAATTTACGTACATGAAGATTAACTCTTCGTTCGGTTACTTTTTTTTTGAAAAGATAATCAACTTAGATAAATAAAGCATCCCCTTTTCTGGAGATAGAACACTTCACTACACACATTGCTGTTTTAGAAATTATCGCTTTATTTCTATTGGAAATAGACCATGGATTTTTTAACTGTGTAATATCCCCAATTCTGATCTGCTGGATTTGCTAAAGAATTGCGCATAGATGAGTTAAAACCATGCAAACAATTCAGGAAGATAATTTTGATAACAATTATTTTACAGCAAAAATACCTGCAAAAAAGTGTAGATATAATACTATAAAATATTGTTCTTTGAAATTGTATTATAGTTGTTTAGGGAGATAAACCATTACACATGGATATCAAATACACAGCTATCTCCATTTTTTTTCAAAAGTGGACATATAACACTATAAGATTCACACGACGAAATGCATTCTCACAAGTCTGACACTTACGTTTTATGCATAAATTGTGTTGCTTCTCTGGGCGTCTCTGTCAAACAATTAGTGATAAAAAATAAAAAATAAAATAAATAAAAAGACCAACCAGTCCAGTATCTCATGCAATCAAGTGTCAAAACTAGCACATTCTTTCTCTTTCTCTATCTATCTCTCTCTCGCACACACACACACGCGCATCCACATACACAATGTTTGTTAAAGAAATAAAGACTAATGGTAAAGTCTAAAATAATCTATTAAGGAAGAAATTTGAAGATTTGGGACGGAAATGTGTTCAGTTCTATTTGTTGCAGCTAAATGAAGGACTGAAGTATTTAGATGTCAGCATGAATGGATTCGGTCTAGAAGGAGCACGAGCAATGGAGGATGCGCTAAAAACTAACAGAATATTGAGAGAGTTGCATTGTACGCACTGTAGAATACCCGTAGAAGGTGCACCTCACATAGCTGCTGGTATACAAGTCAATGAAGCTTTAGTTAAATTATATGTAAGTAATAAGAGCACAAAGGAATTACTCGACAGGTTATAGAAGGTTTCTAAGAGAAAAACTTGTAGTGTAAAAGACGAACCAATCTTAGATATTGACAAGAGAGTCAAAGCAGGAAGATTTTTGCAGGAAAAGTTCTGCTTAAGTATCATTACGGATACAATATTTCAAGGGATGTTTATTTCATGTCTATTACACAATACACTTTCTTTTACTATTCAGTTTTGTCAATATACCATTGCATAAATGTTTTGATGAATAAGTATGATGTAAAAGTGTATGAAAACAACACGTGTAATACTGATACTGATTATTGTCTGCACGAGACGTGTTTCTGGAATATAAAACATCATTCACAAGGTACGCTCGAGACTAAAATGTATACACTTGTGAATAAAAGTTGATAAAAGATAATTATTTAATTTTAGATCGGACATAATGAATATGGTTGTGACGGAGGATTTTTTATACTCGAAGGTGTAAATAGAAATGACAAGAAGACACTGCAATATTTAGATTTTGCGGTAAGCTTATCTGTTAGAATTTATTTTATTCGATTGTCATATAAGGAAGAGGTTTAGTTAGCTATAAAACCAGGTTTAATCCACCATTTTCTACATAAGGAAATGACTGTACCAAGTCAAAAATATGACAGTTGTTTTCCATTCGTTTGATGTGTTTGAGCTTTTGATTTTGCCATTTGATAATGGACTTTCCGTTTTGGATTTCCCTTGGAGTTCGGTATTTTTTTTATTTTACTTATTGACACTTTAATTTTTATTCCGAATTTTCTTCACGTGTTAACCTGGGCCGATATGCATAAAACTACTTAAATAAAGATTTGTTCCGAACGGACGAATTTTTCTAAATGTCCTACGATGAATTCGTACTACGATTGGATATCTTAACTAAAGTGGTTTTATGCATATCTGACAGCCCTGATTTTCATGCTAGACATGATCTCGATAGTTTGAACTGACATATTAGTGTGCTCTGATCGTGGTTTTACATATTCAGCATACTAGCTGTTGTCATAAGTTTTGTTTTAGAGACACCGGCAAATCGACATAACTTATAATAATTTCTACTTAAAATATTAAGTATCGAATGTTTATTGCAATTTGTAAAGTTTGATCGAATATAATTCTAATTTGGTTATCTCCCTTTCATCAAGAAAACAAATCAACTTAAATATTTTCTATCTTCCATCACCTATAGACTTAGTGAAGTATGACTTATTTCGCTTCTCTGGACGGACGTCTCTATTATGGTAGCTTGAACATTTTAGATGATATCTGATTCACCATAATTAGTATTCAAAATGTAATCACCATAACCGGTTGAACTTACTGTATAATTTGGGTTTTAACTGGGAAAAATAAATATAATTGCGATAATTTTTTTTTTGTAATTGCCTGAAATAGAATTTAATGGTAAGAAGATCGTTTCAAGCATTAGAGAAAGAGTTACGAGAAGACCGCAACTTAGTCACAGTATATGGAGGTGTTTTGGTGGATGTGACCAGTTTCGCAAGTAAAAAGCCCCGAGATCCCGAGAAATTACTGGCGTCAGATCCTATGACGAAGCTAAGGGAATATGTAGAGAAAGCTGGATATAGGATGATAGACTTGTTAAAAACGTTCGATAGAGATAACAACTGGCAGATATCCAGAGAAGAATTATCTATGGGTGTTAAGGTATTTGTTAAATTATATAATAGTTTGTTTTATTAAAAGAATTAACACTGCATGTATCCACGCATGACCATTAGAGATATGAATATCCGATGTTTATTTGCAAAATTTCACATAATTTCTAGAAAGTTTCCACGCAGTCTAATGGTCATTCAAAACATGTTCATTAAACAAAATAGAAAGCATTCTTAATATGAAATGATATTCAACAGTTACAATATGGATAGCATCTAAATAAAAGAAGATGGGGTTCAGTTAGACATTTGCCAAACATCATAAAAAACTATAGAGTCTTCAATAAGAGAGGCGAAAGATACCAAAGGGATATTCAAACTCATTAGTCGAAAACAAACTGACAATTAATATTAACGTCATGGTAAAACATAAAATAAAACCGACCAAAAAGACAATATTATAGACAACACCAGACAAGTGTTCATACAAGTGCTTATTTACAAATGCATTATTTAATTAAATTTGACAAACGATGAATAATAATATACATAAAATTGGTTAACTTTTTAATAAAGCGGTTTCAATGTTAAGAATCAAAATCCCGAACAAAATACACATGAATCTTCAGCTACAAATATTTTGAAGTAAAAGATTTTCAGAGTTAAGTGACATTCTGTGAAAAGACGAAAAGATACAAATATCATCTCATATCTGTTGGTAGCTAATATTTCTAGTCCTATATGATCCTTCTTGTCAAAATATGATCATTTGATCTCTATTTCAATAGAAATGTAACATTGATTTAACTGAAGAACAAATTGACAAGTTGATGAGCCAGTTAGACCTAGATGGCAATGGTGAAATAGATCTAAGGTAAACAAAATTAACGAAGAGTTTTTCCTATTAGTTCTGTGCGCATGTTTTCTTCCAAAACTGTTCGGTTTGATCTTTTCGGTAATGTAAGATGTAGTTGTTTCTGTTCTTACTTTAATGCTATATATATATGTAGGCCTCACATCCATGGCGAGTTTCAGATCTATTGTATATTCCTAATCTATGGTAAATATGACGTCATGCCATCCCAAAACTTTATTCATCGCGGGATCAGGACGGTACAGCATATATTGCCCCGCCTCTGGATAAAAGGTTACATCTTCCTATAAACCATCAACAGGGAATTTCAAAGCGGAAAGTGTTTCCCTGTGTATTTGTTTGTAATACTCTGTGAGTCCCGGGTAATATGACATTATTTAATTGTGACGCTATAGTTTACTCTTTTCCCAATTACGCAATTTCAAAATCTGCCATAGATTTGGAGAAAACGAAAAACTGCCATAGATTTATGATTTGTATTGCATTTGTGACGTCATATTTGCCATAGATTTGAAATCTGCCATATATCTGGAACCCACCATAAATTTGATTCCTACATATTTATGCATGGGATTGTAAAATCTAAACGGAAACTCCGCATTTATGAAAAACACGCATGTCCATTGTATATAAGTATGAATATCCGATGTTTTTAGTATCTCTAATGTGTAAATAAATTTAGGAGATGTGATGTAATTGTCCAGTGATGAAATTAATGCACATCTTCTGTTTTATTTTGTTTTATAGAGACACATAATTTTATAAATCTTTTTATTCCTCAACGTTTGGCTGCGTGTATTCGTGGTGAAGATTAATGCATGCATTCGTATCGAACGCAGCAAAAGTGGTCAGTTTTAATCGATCGATTTCGCAGGGAAATTCAAAAATTATTAAAACGAGTTTCAGAGTAGTGTGTATTGTTTTGTGGACTGTTGTTGTCTTTTTCGCTTTGGCCAAGGTGTATATTGATATTTGATTCTTCCCCTTTTCCACTGACGTTTAATTGGAACTTTTCCATTTCCCAAAATACTTTTTTATGTACAAATACATAAAATGAAATATCTAGTAGTACTACAAGATTCCCTTATATACGTATAACATATCAATACTTTAAAATTAGTGAATCATACTGTTTTACATGTGAACAAGTTTCCATATAAGGTCGTGTTCAAGAAATATTTGTTGATTTGCAATATTATTATGTACTGAGATCTCCAAGTACATATTAGATTGCATTTATTCTGTACATGGTACACACTTGGAGCTCACACATTCATAGTTAGCTCATACATGTAATAATCGTAGAGAACCATAGTAATACATATGCATCTTCTTTTGCAGTGAACTAATGGAAGGAAAGCTAGAAAATACTTTACTACAACGAGAAGCTATAAGATATAGAGAAGAAGTAGACAAAAAGACGAAAAAAAATGAACAGATGACGGCTAAAGCTGATCCTCAATCGTTTATGGAAATGATGAATGATTAGGACACATACTTAAACGATACTCAAATGCCTTTTCCTATTTCTTAAATATATTTACAACATATTAAGAATCTGTAGTATAAATAGAAAATCTGTATTGTGAATTGACTTTTAAATGTCAACTGATTAAGCAATGCGTGCCAATCGGATTTTTATCAATTGACTTATATTTGTGTTTGTGACTGTAATTTATTATGTACATTAAAATCAGTTTACAGTACAAGCTTTAACATAAAAAGCTCTGCAATAGCGTTATTGTCAGACAACTAGGTTGATTAATCTTTGTCAGATTTCTTGATAAATAACATTTTGGCATAACATTGCACGTGATTTTTTTTATCGTGAGAACCGAACAAAATAAACTTTTTACATGGTGATTATGATAATAGAAAGAAATTTTTCAATTCATCAAAAGAATCGAACGCAACAAGATTTTTTCGTCTAACATTGTAACCTGTTATTTGTATTAACAATGGAGTATTTCTAGGAATAGGCTAAGGGTTTAGCCCGTTTCTTACCGCCGTCAGGTGACAATTTAATTATATTAAACAAATGGCTTCTAATGAAAACAGAAATGCGCATTATTTATTCGATCACCACCACTGCCGAATTCAGAATCCACAAAAAATCCTATCCCATCATTTTAGTCTTAGATAAATGATGTTTTTATTAGTTGTTATTGGCTTTGAATTAGCTATCAGTAACTGCGAGTACTCTCAGATCTGTGCTTGGTGTCTTTTCTGTTGTGATGGATGTATACATTCCCTGCTACGACCGGTTTTTGTTTTTGTTCGGTGATTTTTCTACTTTGTATCGATCTGATGAGTTAAGCCTTTTTAAACGGATTTTTATAGTTTGTTCTTATGTTGTGTCGTTGCACCACTGTCCCAGGTTAGCGGGAAGGTTGGTGCCTTCACACATGTTTAACCCCGCCACATTCTATATGTGCCTGTCCCAATTAAGTCAGGAGCCTGTAGTTCAGTGGTTGTCGTTGGTTCATGTCTGACATATTTGTTTTTCGTAAATTGTTTTGTTATAAATTAGGCCGTTAGTTTTCTCAATTGAATTGTTTCATATTTTTCATGTCGGACCTTTTATAGCCGACTATACGGTTTGGGGTTTTCTCATTGTTGAAAGCCGTACGGTTGCCTATAATTGCTTACATTCACTTCATTTGAACTTTGGTGGATAGTTGTGTCATTGGCAATCATACAAATCTCCTTATTTTCATTTAACGTTTGTTTTGTTCATGGACTTATTAAGTATTTTTTAAAGAATTTTTTGTCCGTTTATACTTTGTTAGTTTTCTTATTCTCAGCTAATTTTATATTTTGTTCCTTTTGTTTGTTAAAAATCTGGCTGATAGTAGTTCCAAGCAAAATTTTACATAGAAAATGTACAAACTGATTTTGTGCCTCTGGTTATTCATATCATATTGACAAAACTATTTGTTCTACAAAATGTATATCCATTCGGCAATTTCATAGAAACACTAGTCATATACATTTACTAGAACAATTGTAAGGAGACTAGTTGGCGCATATTTTTTATTTAAGCAAAATAAGACAAATTACCAGAGGGAGGGGCATTAAACCTGACAAAAAATTAAACGCTCGACTATAGCAACTACACAACGAATGGAAAACAACTATCATATTCCTGACTTGGTACAGGTTCTGAATGAAAAGTAAATATTATCTTTGATGTGTAAAAATAAATCCATTAATCTGTTTGACTTATTTCTTCGTCACCGTCCATACTCAAATGCAAACATTTGATTAACTATTACAATTGTTTAAATTTTATAAAACTAAGTATTAAAGTTCAAACTCTCTCCTTTGAAATCAGTTTGATTGATTTGTTGACGGTTGTTTGCTTACCATCAAGTTACGAATGTTTGATGTATCGTCTGAATGAGAACAAATAATAGGTATGTCCTGATAAATGGGGCGACGGGATGCTGGGCCGAAATGTTTATCTGCTTCTACAAAATGAGGGTGTGTTCTTCTTGTCTCATTTTTACAGAAACTAAAGTTTAAACCTTCTCCGGCGAAATTTAATGTATTTGCTGATTGTTGTTAGCATAAAATCAAGTTGCTTATTTTTCATGCATATTTAGGATGAGAATATATTTACAACAAATATTATAATAAAATTGAGAATGGAAATGGGGAATACATGTGTCAAAGAGACAACAACCCGACCATAGAGCAGACAACAGCTGAAGGCCACCAATGGGTCTTCAATGCAGCGAGAAACTCCCGCACCCGGAGGCGTCCTTTAGCTGGCCCCTAAACAAATAAGTATACTAGTTCAGTGATAATGGACCTCGTATGTTCTGCAAAGTCATCAACTTGGATGACGGGCGGGACATTTGATCAGCATCTATAAAATAAGTGTTTATTGGATAAGGTCATAAATTTTGCCGTTCAACTGGCCACCTAAACAAATCGCCTAAAGGGTTACTCTAAAAATTCATTGATTTTCATGTCTTTATTCCAACAGTACGTGGCTGGGTTTTTATAAATCCCGCACAACAAAAAGGACGCGTTGTTGTAAAGTTTTGACAATTCCTTTAAAGCTTATGTTAATTATAATGGCTATACATGTAGACCCATTGGTGGCCTTCGGCTGTTGTCTGCTCTATGGTCGGGTTGTTGTCTCTTTGACACATTCCCCATTTCCATTCTCAATTTTATGTAGTTATGATTCTATAGCTTTTGAAACATTTGGCGCTTTTAATTTATGATTACGGTTAACAATAAAACGCTTCGAACGCAATAAATCCAGTCTACTTGTTTTTGATAACGTACTAACAAATCTCTACTACTCCATTTAACTATTCAAATTTTAACCTGTAATTTTTAAGAATTTCTTTTTATGTCAATTAAAACTACTGCAGTGACGTTTTATAAGGGTGATATTAAAACGCAGACAACAGAAAAAAGAGAAAGTGTATTATTTCTTGGGGACTAGGGGTGTTTACATGCCCTAAAATCCCCATTTTACTTCTCTGTAGGGTGCTTTGGTATTGATGTTCCGAAATGTACATAACCCATGCCGTCAGTTTTGGACTTATGTGGATAGTTGTCTCATTGGCAATCAAACCACTTCTCTTTATTTTCATATACTTGGCTTCAAAGACTTTTTGGTCACGTGCTTACCTGATGATGGTCATTCCAGATTCACGTTTTGAGCGCATTAAAATCAGTATCATACATTAATAGAATAAAAAATAACGACTTAGTTCTTTTATTAGGGTTCGTCAGGAATTAGTAACCAATCGATAAAAAATATTTCTAGATTTTTAAACTTAAACATAGAACACTTTGACGCAGTTCTTGAAGAATCAAAGTTTTTATATCTTGTTAATTTGTACATTCCAATTGACATGCAAACTTGAAATCATATCGTTTGATACTGGACACGACATATTTGTTTATATTTGCTATATAAAGTTCTTTAGTAGGTAATTGCAGATAAGCATTTCCTACATCGTGTCGGAGATGTCATGTATTGTACATACGAATCGATACTGCATCGGAAGCTCTAACTTTCGAACTTAAAACAGCACTTAGAACAGGTAAAGACAATGCATTTCATACTACTACTGGATCAACATCGCTTGGGATTAACTATATAATCACAGAGTATCATACGCCCATTATTAAGTGTTTGATTATTAAAATGTTTTCAGATACATTAAAAGATGAAAACAAGACTTTAAAGATTTCCTTCGTACGAAGCGTTTTTCTGAATTTACCTTCTTCAGGATCGCTCACAGCCGAATATTTGAAAGCCAATGATGTATAAGAAACAAAACCGTTGAAGAGCTGTATGACAGAAAAGGACATAGAAATAATAGTCAAATTCATCTAAGGTCAACTTTGCCTGAAGGAGTTGAAAGAAAAAAGGGCAAGAAGATAAACAGTTGGTATTCAAAAACCAACATCACGATCAAAAGAATAAACATCCCCCCACAAAACTCCTGATAGAAAACTCAATATTGACCAACAAGAACTCAACTAAATACAGGTGGTAGACTGTTTTCTGCTGCCTCTTTGACACATTCCCTGTTTCCTTTCTCTATTCTATCAGATGATTGTGTCGGCATCTCCTGCTCTACTAAAGACTCCAGTTAAATCATGTCGATGAGTCCTATCAAGTGATAACGGTGTATAAATGTTAGTTTGCTTACCCCAGGAATATGATATCTCATTCGTTTGTTTTATTCTGTTACAAGGTAGCTCTCTTAAATTGTTGTCGTTATTCCAATAACCATCTTTATTTGTCAAAACAAAGGTTTCGACTTACTCAGACACGTATGACCTTTCAGACTATTTAAGCTGTTAAGTTAGGGTCATTTAGTTTTCAATTGACTTCTAGGGTTTTTGATTCGCTTGGAAATACAAAGGTTTGTATATTGCGCGCAAGAAAATAATTATCATAAGAAAATAGTAAATGTTAACTCATAATGTTTATTACATCAACATCCGTCATGTATACGCGTGAATGCTTAATCAAAGTTTTCATTAGACAAACACACAACACAAAATCTTTTTAAAAGGATACATTCAAGGCCGTACTTTGACCTATAATGGTTTACTTTTACAAATTGTGACTTGGATTGAGAGTTGTCTCATTGGCACTCATACTACATCTTCTTATATCTATTCAATATTGTTTTCAGTAATTCTAAATAGTTTCATGTTGAGAGACTAATAGTTTTTTCTTATTTGTCTTATGAACAAAATATAAAAGATGATCGTTTGAACCCGTTTGCTGTGGGTTTTTTTAATAACGAGTCAGACTGCGAATTTTGAGGAAACGGAAGGGATGCCGGGCTAGTTTAAACAAGACTAATACCGGGTCTGAACCTACGTCGCTGTAATTCATTGAGGTAACATGTATACTGGAGCCCTTTCATTGAAGTCAAGAAAACTTTGACGAAAATTTTCCTTGTACAATGATTGTTGTAAAATTTCAAACTATCGGCAATTGGAAAGTGAATACATGGTAGATGTAAAAATTGCTTACTCGCTACAACTCAACATTATCAGGCTGCATACCAAATAATAAACCATTCCCCTTCATAGAAACCAAAAAAACTTAATCGAAAATTTTCCTTGTACAATGAGTGTTGTAAAATATCAAACGATCGGAAATCAGGAAGTGGCTACACGGCGGATGTAAAAATTGCTTATTCGCTATAACTCAACATTATCAAGCTTCAGATCAAATATTAAATAAATCTCTTGCATAGAAGCCAATAAAACTTTGACCAAAGTTTCCTACCTTGGGTCTTTAGAACGAACGGACGGACGGACGGACGGAAGCTGGTAAAAATAACTACCTTTAAATTGATGAAAGACGGACACAATGGTGACTAAAATAATATAAGACACACAAAATAAATCGGACCAGAACCCCAGGACTGCATTTCATTTAGGCCATTTTAGTTCAATATACCCACAAGAACTAAGCGGTGTTACAGTAACACCGTGTGGAACGTGACATTTTATTTTATTGTGACGATGATTTTTCTATTGAGAGGAATATTAAAATGTATTATTCAGATTTCCGTATGTAACAAACAATTTTATTAAGATTATAAAATGATGTATATTCTGTGTCACTGAAGAAATTTACATATTAAACGTTCTATTGATACGGGGGCATAAAATGTAGACTATAAAACGCTTCTTTTTCACATATATCTAATGTAATCTGCACATGTTATACCATTTGTCGTGATATGCAGTCAAACAAAACTTTAAATGTCAGATTATCGACGGACGAACACGTGATTTTAACATCAATACACACAATCCAAATCTGCTTTGTGGATTTAAAAAGAAGTGGATAAAGATTTCAACATAGCTGTTTATTTACCTAACGATGGCTTGATTTGTTATCTAAAGATCCGCTGATGGTCTGGATCAACGAATCATAAGAATTGATATTGCATTTTATTATTTTCTGACGGTATTATTCAAGACAATTGTTTTAACAAATTAATGTTAAATTAACTAGTTTGTGTTATTTGTGCGAAACATATCTGGAAGCAAATGGTAAGTTCATTTTATTTTTAATTTCACTAATTTATATCTAAATTTTGATACATGACTGTATCTGTTAAAGTCTATGCAAAGATCTTTGGTGGATAGTTGTCTCATTGGCAATCATACCTCAGTTCCTTATTTTTATAAAGATAGTTCTCGATAAAAGAAAAGGCTTTCAAAATTACCGTCTTAAAGTCTGAAAAAAATGTCATATCACCAATAGGATATATATATATATATATATTTCATATCCCCATAACCTTTATTAAGACGAAATTTTTTACACCTGTCTGTTATTTACGAAACTCGAACAAATACTTGTGTACTTCGCTTTACATATATTCAATTCATTTTGGGATATAATATAATAAAAAAAGTCATGTTTAATTTAAAATAAAATTGAAATAAAATTGACAGACACAGATTTAGTACATGTATAAAAGGCTTATGACAGAGATTATTATAATCGAAAAAAGAATAATATTTGAAATTCATAAAGAAAACAACAGATTTAAGTATTTTTCTAAATGTTCAAATATTGCCAGATTTACTTTTGGTATTAAAAACTGAGCTGTTTTAGACTTAAAGATTGTGATTGATCAACTGAGCTCTGATCTACATGTACGCTTTGAAAAAGTCATGCTACGTTGTAGCAAAGATTAAATACTGTTGTGATATTTTAACCTTTGGCAACACGTATTATTTCAGCGTTTCAAATTCATAATTATTTAACATTTAATCCATTACAACTGCGATTAATAACCCTATATATTAGCACCATTCTAGATTTATTTAAGAACTTAATACAAGAAATGGGACGAATGTCATTAAGTACCGTGCAACACTAGATAATAAAAATACATATCTATAGATTTCAACCGTGGCGGATTCAACAGGGGGCGTAGAGGGCGTACGCCCCCCCCCCTTTGAATGGAAAATATATCATATTTTAGCATACATTTTTCCAAAAAAATTCTCGGTTCGCATCGCTCGGCAATATATATTAGATTTTCTTCAATAACGCTCCCTTTCACAAATCCTATATCAGCCCTTGTTCACATTTAACTATTGTTTGTCTGTTGGTCTTTTTCTTTTTTAGCCATGGCGTTGTCAGTTTATTTTCGACTTGTGAGTTTGAATGTCCCTCTGGTATCTTTCGCGACTCTTTTGCAACATCGAAATCAAATCTCTTGGAATGAACTGGAGCTTGTCATTAGCCATAACGTATAACACGAGTAAAGCATCGTTTTTGGATAAGGTTCAGATTGCAAAATCGTCAGTAGTTTTTTGTCCAGTGTTATTCATATATATATAGACAGTCACTATTTTTATTTTATCTGTCTCTTTTGACTATGGTGTTGTCTTCTATATGCAGCTTATGGTCAAACATGTGTTTGTTGGTAGGGTTCATATTGCAAAATCGTTAGTAGTTTTGTTTTGTGTATAACGTTATGTAGACTGTCGTTTTTTTTTTGTCATGATTCTTTTGATTATGGCTTTGTCTGTCTAAATTTCGGCTTATGGTATTTGCTTTTTTCTTCTTACTTTTTAACGGATTTGTTACGACATTGATGTCTATCTGTCCTTCTCAGTTGGAAAGCGACTCACAGTTTGATCTCATATAAAGTAGCAACAATGGAGTCTCATATATAACCGCAAATATTCAGTAAAACCATAGATATAATAGACATGGACATGGCTATTATATCTATGGTAAAAGTTACTAAAACTATGGTCGAAAAAAATATAGGCTTCTGTTATAAATGGCCCATCGTCATGATAAAAACTTAATGTTTGAAATAATCTGGAATCTATAAGTTTTTCACTCGTTAAGATTTGCATATCTTATTGTAGCTATTCTTGCTAAATACTGCCGTAAAACTTGAAATTTAGATTAATATTTAGAGACAGATCGGAAAATGTTGCAACCGCGGTATATTTATCGACAGCAATGAATCCTTTTAGTGAAAACAAATTTCGCTTGAAATAACAATGTCCTAGAATGTTATTCTACCTAGGTTTATTGACACATAGATGTATAAACCCATATCTACATCTATGATTGACAGCAGTAAATCCGCTGAAAAATTATTTCGCTCGAATAACACATTGTGATTGTAAAAATATAAAGGAATTAAAAGTTTCAGGAGACGTAGTTAAAACAGACACTCATATGCAATATTTCAGTTAACAAATTACAGTTAACTTACTAATTAATTGGCATTCTTACCCACACACTTTTATAGCCATTGGTTAACTCATTTGATAGCCTGCACAGGTTCAACTATGACGGGATTTTTCTTTGTTGTTTCTAAACTGAGCTCATCAAAATTATTTTTGTACCTGTTGTGTAACAATGATACTATTTTATTATCAATCTTTTGTCTATTTTATGATATCAATGAAGGATTATTCTCATTGTCCCTGCTATCATAAAATTCATTTACACAAAGTAAATATAAGATAAGCTAAGAGGGTAAAAAGGAGTGTTTTATTGTGGAGTTGTATGTGGTAGAATATAAACGGTCCAAACGTATAAAGTTACAGCTGCTCGATAATTAATGGGATAAGTTAATTTGAGCATACTTGGAGACTTTTTATGACTATGAAAGAGTACAGCTTAATTCGATATGATATACAGTTCGGCTTTCTCACCAGACGTGGCTACGTATCTATACATCCCGCACATAAAAATGTATGTCCTCTTCGGCTTTTGTAGTCCCGCAAACGCTTAAAATGCACTAAACCGACCCGTGAAAAATTGTGTTTTCAAATTTTTGTTTTAGAGTAGAAGAATTCTGGACACTTGCCCATACAAACTCATCCCATTGACGACCCCATGTGACTTTCAATAACGTCGTTATTTTCCAGTAAATGTCCTTGAATACATATAAATAGACCCCAAAGGCTTATAAGAACACAAAGTGACCAGTGAAAACTGTTCTCAAAGCTTTCACAATAGAAGAATTTTAAATTCCCACCCGGCCCCTTCGCACTCAACTTAAACTATCTTACGTCGCTCAATGTAACTTTGAAGACCTCCAGCAGCAGCAATAAAAGATATTCCTCCTCTTGTTTTACATGGTTATTTTCAAGTTTATTATGTCTTTGAAGTGTTGCACCCCTGTAAATTCTATCCCCCACCACTTGTTTCAATAGGTAAACTTACCACATGGGGAGATCAGCATTTGAGGTAAGGAGGTACAAAAATGATTTACTTACTTCAAGTACATTAAAATTTGACACTAATTGTACTATTCCAAAACACAATAAAATAGTGAAACCTACAAGATGTCTAACTACAAATCAACTTAAATGTTACAAGATTTCAATCACGTTGATAAATTTAAATGAAAATTGAACTTTTCCGTTATCACTATGTCTTTGTACAATTACGTTTGGATCGATATAAAATTTCAATATAATAATACTCAAACGTTATTGACATTTTAAACTTTAAGGACGAAAATTAAGATTTTAGATAGTGTTGAAAATATGAACTTTCATGTTGAAGTAGGAATTGCTTGATATTTTAGATTTAATTTTGTGTTTGACAATTGATGAACATTACAAGTTGCACTTTCAATACATGTACTCTGACATGTGCATATCATATCAATAACAGAGTCATTGAATAACTGAAAAGAATGTCTTTCAAACGCTTAAAACTTGCATATCTAAAAATACATAAAAGAATAAAAAAAAAATGAATAAAAAAGAAATGATATATTTTTACTGTTGCTCACGTATGAAATGTTTAATGTATTTTAATTTGAATGTAAAACTTCAGCCTTCTCTGTCAAACTTTCCTTTGTGGTTAAAGTTATCAATTTAGTTTGGTTTGTTATAATGTAAATCATTCTCTAGTTTCAAACGTCATTGAAGTCATGTTGAAAGAGTGAAAGAAAATTAAGATCGTTATCTTACCCCTTTGAGTGCAGAAAATGGACACTTTAATCGAATTATACAGGCACCATTTATATACAAAAATATTAATTAAAGAAAACTTAATACTATATTGTTAGTTTGTAACGATCGTTACATAATTCATCAAAATTATTCTGTCATTCACGTTATTTTTTTTTTATCGAAAATTTACCTTTACATTTTTACCGAATGATTTTTACGACAAAGTTAAGTTTTCAATTCATTATATTAATGACGGGAACAAAATATACAATGGATCAAACAAATACTGTAAGTAGGCCGACCGGGATCAAGAACGTCACGATTACTAAGTTTGGACTGCCTACGGAAAAAGATAATTAGATGCAGAAATTTAGCTTTTTAGCATGTTAACGTAACCTGTGGATTTTGGAGTTGCTGCAACGGTTCTCTTAATTTATAGACAATCATGACATACACTCTACTCACATATGGCATCGGATTTATCATCTACTTTCTGACGAACGTGGCTGCGTATCTATATATCCCTCTCACCAAAACGGATATCGCGGGTTCTACTGTCAGAGTTATCATATTTCTAAATAATTGTCACTATATGCGTGCATTTTAACAAGAATTATACATTTTTACATTTTTAATTTGTAATTAATTGAAGGACTAAAATGATTTCAATGGCACCAGTTTAAAATTATTATAATTCTATTGATATAGATAGATAGTATTATGAATATCTTTGACAGATATTAATAGGCTATAAATCATTATATGTACAAGAATCAAACTCCGCCATTCTAAGTTAACCCTTGACGGTTCTGGATATACCTTGTAATTGATATTCCAATTATTTGTTGTGTCATTTACTAAACGTATTCTCTCTTGTGATCAATTTCACAAACGTTTTCTCTCTATTAACCAATTTCACAAACGTTTTCTCTGTATTAACCAATTTCACAGACGTATTCTCCATATTAACCAATTTCACAAACGAAATCTCTCTTGTAACCGGGTTTACAATGGTACTCTCTCTTATAAAAGGGAGGCGGATGATACCAAAGTGATATTCAGACTTATGAGTCGACGGCAAACTGACAACGCCATTACAAATTAAGAATAACGACCAAAGTCAAACAACATTATACAAAACACAACAGAGATTCCACAATAGTTTTCTCTCTTGTACCCAATTTCACAATCGTTTTTTCTTTTGTTACAAAAAAGTGCCACAACCCTTTTTTCTTATATATTATAACCATTTTTCAACCAAAATATTTACATTCTCTCAAATTGTCGAAGTCACTTTTTAGCATATTGTGTCAGGGTGATGCATGTAAAAAATTTGATTATTTCGAATCTGAGTTATGACTTTGTGAGTTCTTTGAAGAAAACTCAGAGTTCTCATAGTGAAGCTGTTGCAGATTTTCCCGATTAGCATCTCTAAAAGATAGGCAAAAGATATAAAAGTGACATCTAAACTTAAGTCACTAAAGTCAAAAACAAACTGACAATGCCATGGAAAAAACGAAAATCGACGAAAAGACAAACAACAGTACACAAAACACAACATAGAAAACTAAAGACTGAGCAACAAGAACCTCACCAAAAGCCGAGGGTGATCACAGGTACTCCGGAAGGGTAAGCAGATCCTGCTCCACTAAGGTTCCAGTGATGTCGTTCTCATTTCAGTATGAGTATGAAGTCAGAGGGTGACATTTACGTGATTTATGCATAATTTGGACATTTGGTTTGAATTTTAATAATATCAATTAGTATAGAACTAGTCATTTTCCATGTGCTTGTATATCAACTAAAGTATATATTAACGGCCTCCTTGGTAGCTGTGTATTCACTTTGTGACGTCCATTTTCGCTGGACTAGTACAAATTTTTGTCTAGGGGCCAGCTAAAGCCCGCCTCCGGGTGTGGGATTTTATCGCTGTGTTGAAGACCCATTGGTGGCTCTGGGCTGATTTCTGCTCTTTGATCGGGTTGTTGTCTCTTTGGCACATTCCCCGTTTCCATTTTCAATGTTACTTGCTGTTTCAAATTTTTATAATCAAGATTATGGTTCCCAAAAATAGGAATAATATCTTAAAGAATGCATCTTAAAGAATGCATCGTCCCCAAGGGTGACTGGGGAATAGAAATATGGTCACTACAGGTCTTCTTCCGACCGGAAGTAAAATCCTTGCAAAAGTGGGGCGTCCGTTTGGCTGTGCGGGATGTATCAAGTACGCAGCCACGTCCGGTCAGAATGAGGACGTAAAATCCGATGCCTTGTGTAAAGAGTTCAACGTCAACGCTCTTTGCACGTTAAGAACCCTTCTAGAAACTCTTTGAGGGGTCCGTAGGTGGCCTGTTGCAAGGCTACCCTCATTTTCCCGTGGGAGTCAAAATTTCCCCGACCTTCATCTCGGACGGCCTATATTACAGGACCTACCTATTGTATGTATTGTTAATTTGTTCTCGTCCTGAATATGCATGAAATATTTGCAACTGGACGTTAAGTAAACCACTAATCAATTAATCATTAAAGAATGCATCAACACTATTGTAGACCATTAAATTTGTAAATAAACATGTCGTCTCAAGAATTCATTGAACATCAAGAACTACAGTCTAATATAGACCTTGAAGAAAAATTTGCTGTCTCATTGAAATTTACACTTAGGAGACGTATTATTTATTTCGGTTAAAAGATTCATTAATTTATCAAAGTTTTATCCACTAATTTTTTTTATAAGTCTATCTTTTCTTCACTACTCATCTGACGTCAATTACATTTTATGGATCTCACCATTGTTCATTAAAATTCATTAATGACGGTGACACCGTTCGTGGAATACAAATTATTCCATTGACTGTAGTCCGTTATTTATATATTTCTAAATACTGAAAGATTTTTAAATAATAATATATTCTTTACTAAAAAATCGTGAAAGGCAATCATTGAGTTCAATATTTTTTATTTTTTGTATTATAAATATAAAATTAAAGGGAGTTTCGATTTAATTTTTGAAGTAGCAGCTTGTACGAGCTGAACTAATTTAAAGCACACGTGGCTTGAAACGTTATGTTTCACACCTTTGTCCTTTGGTTTTTTGTGGATAGTTTTCTCACTGGCAATCATACATTTAAAACATTTCATTATATTTACAGTGGAGCGGCATAATGATATATTTAGCGATAGTTTCAGAAGATCCAAGAAAAAGACATTCTTACATAATTAATTCGATTTAAAACTAAACGAAAGTTTGGGGCACAACTTTATTGTTAAACACTAAAACAATAATGAAAATAAGATTTTGAGTCCATTTAGGATACCGTGCCACGTTCACACTAATTTCTAAGTTCATTGAACTAAAAATCTTGGTCAAACCTTAATTATTATGAATATGTTTATAAATTGTCAAGTTAATGCAACCACAACTTAATGGTAAACTACCGTATACCAAAACGGTGCAGACGACCGCCATTGGTCTGCAGACGACCGCCATTGGTCGTCTGCTCCGTTTTGCAATGACCCGAGAACATAATGCCCCATACTACAGTAACTGGGTATAACGATCATGTATGATACTTGCGCTTTTGTTAATTACCACTGGTTTACCAATTCATTCTTTAAGATTATTTGTCGCTACTATGTCATCAACTTAGTTGTCAGCGATTCGGCACAGGAGTTTGCACATTTACACACTAAACTGTTGTAGGACTAATTCCAAAAACAAATGATATTTAGTGTGTGTCTTTTTTTAAAAGAAATAAGGCAGCATTTCCATGATTAATGTCTTTACAGAAGCTGTTTTAATAAAATAGTAATCTACGATCTGAACACAAAAAATAGGGTAGGGAGAAAAATATGTTTCCTATATTCCATTATTATGTTCACTAATTAGGCACATATCATGTATGTTTGAACCTGTAAATACTAGATAATTGCACAGTCATGTTTCGACTGGTGAAAATTAATGAAATGAAATGTGATCATGTTAAAGTCAAGAAGTCTTTCTGCGTTAACAACTACCCTTATAGAAACCAAAATGGTCGCTAGGTTGTTGAAACAGCATCATCAATAAACGTGGATCTAACGTAATTACAACCAATTTTGCTGGTTAGATTCAAAAGGAGAATCATCTCGACACACTAAGGGTATAAGTATAACATCGAAATAAAAGAAATCTTTGAACCACTACAAAAGTCATGAAGGGTGTTTTAACGCTGATGTTCCCAGGGTCTTTGCTCTTTGTGACTACCAATTATTGGACAGCCGCCATCTTCCTAAAGATATTACCTATGCATGAATGTTGCTACATCTATTCTTGTCGACCTGGTAGTGTATTGGCGAATATTTAATGATCTTGTCAATTTTGTTACATCAATGTGTATATACAAATTCTTTTGTGTAAATACAACATGGTACAATCGACAAGTGGTTTTAAGTTAAAACAATTAGTCCATGTTTAATTAGTAAACAACATTAAATTGAATAGTTGAATAGATAATTGGTAACTATTGTGTCCATTTAAGAGTATAACAAATAATAATTAAAATTATTTTTATCTGTTGATAAACAATTTAGATAGTGCAGTTTCATCATTGGATTCCAGGTCGATGTTATAGAAACCGAACTTTTTTTAAAACATATTTTAACATTATCACTGGTTAGCATTTTTTTCAAACCTTCCATATGTAATAAAAAAAACTTACGAATATCAAAGAAAATACCACAGGATGTACTTTTCTTTAAGGAATGACTGTAATATTTTTTTCTTTCTATGGAGAAATAACATAAAAAATGTGGTACACACGGAATAACCAGCGTAGCGGGTTATTTAAAAGTGTTCACCACATTTTTTGGGTTATTTCGAATAGACAAAAAAATAATACAGTCATTCCATATAATTTAATTCTAAATTCCATTTTTAAGGAGTAAATTTTGAAAAAAAAAACGTTGGTGACGTCACGGTCCCATGACAAAATTACGTCTATGGGCTGATAGACAAAACACTTTCAGCCAATCAGAAGACGTGTTACATCCAAAATTAAATTATTATGAATTAATAGCATTGTGTAGTACTTAATAAACCATACCAAATCACAACGACACAATAAACCAAAAGAAATCACGAGAGACTTGTGCAGGATGATTGTGTCTTGTCCTTTAATACATGTTACCCTTCCAGAGCACCTAAGATCACCGAAGTTGTTGGTGGGGTTCGTGTTGCTCAGTCTTTAGTTTTCTATGTTGTGTTTTGGTGTACTGTTGTTTGTCTGTTTGTCTGTTTGTCATTTTCTTTTTTTTTTGGCCAAGGCGTTGTCAGTTTGTTTTCGACTTAAGAGCTGTGACTATAATTATACTAGTATAATAGTCCCAGTTAAGAGTTTGAATGTCCCTTTTGTATTTTTCGCCTCTCTTTTAATAGATCCATGTGTTCATTTTCAAATCTTGACTTCTTCCTATGGTGCGTCCTGTAAACAACAGACAATAGTAAAAATATTATTAAATATACCCGAAAAGTAAACTTCATTATTTGAAAGGTGGTTTATTTAGTTCAAAATGTAGTCAAGTATTAATAAACACATGGCGATTATATGGTTTTTAAATAACATGCAAACTCAAAGGTGTACAGTTACAATGTAGGACTAATTCTATATTTCTACAGGGATTAACGAATTATAACATACAAGACTGTTAATATAAACTAACGGAATCATGTTTACACTTCACATGACACAAAATTGATTCTTATATAAACTTCTTTCCTTAAACTTGATACTTGTTGTTAAATCCTCATTTGTATCAATTATTCATACATATAGACGTTTTAATGGAATATATTTAAACTGTTTTATTTTCGTCTTGATTTTTCAGATTTAGACATATTTTCAAAGACATCGATATTAGAATTTGGATACATATTATCATTTTTGTTTAAAAAATGTAAAGTCGTAAAATGATTAAATAAGAATGACATCTTTTGTACAAGTGACATCTTCCGCGCCTAGTAATAATAATAATAACAAGATAAAGACAAGACAGAAGCGATCGTCAATATTGTCTCCTCTGCCTGAAGACAGCGATGAAGAAGAGCCAAAAGCACCAAAACCTCCAACGTTAGACGATTTCATTCCTACAGGGCAGAGGATATTTCTCACGGAGGAACATGATAGTTTTGGAGACGATAACGGCAACGGTCCAGAAGTGTGTTCCGACGAAATTACTCTTAATGGACTTAATGGTGATTGTTTTATTGAAGATGAATTTTTAGAAGGAGAATTTGTTTCGGATGATAGTTCTGTGCAATCTACTGATGATGATTATGATACAGATTTAGAGGTCAACGAAGAAGGTAGGTTAAACAGGGCAGGTAACCCTGTTTCAGAGTTTTTTTTAGGAAAAAACTTAACAATAGTACAGGCACTAAAAACTTATTACAGATTCCTGGCTTATAATTTATCTTTTTGGTACGCCAGACGCGCGTTTCGTCTACACAAGATTCATCATTGACGCTCGAATCAAAACAGTTGAAAGGCCAAATCAAGTACGAAATTGAAGAGCAATAAAAACCAAAAATTCCGAACGGATGTGCCAAAGAAGGATAAGGCAATCTACGTTATAATTATCAAGATATTAAGAGTTTAGAACTGTTAGCTAAAAGTATCATCTTTTCTACCTTTTGGAATACAATTACACATTTAGCTTGTGTTAACAAAATACGAAGAACGTTTGATAGAAGTGAATTCTGATACGAATTGATTGTAAGTCGTCTGTAATTTTCAATGTCAGAAACATTATTATCAACATACAGTATAGTATAAATATAAAAATAAGAACATGTGGTATGATTGCCAATGAGACAACTCTCCACCGGAGACCAAATGACAGACATAGAAGTTTACAACTATTGGTCACCGTACGGCCTTCAACAATGAGCAAAACCAATACCGCATAGCCAGTTACAAAGTTCACCTTTATAATCTGTGTTAAGGTTTTGGCAAAGTTTTATAGCCAAGAGGGTTGTGATGGTCTTTCTCGTCATGCCTTTAAACTCTCTCTTCGTTCTCAATGGTATGCACAATAAACGTCACATGAGTTTATATTTTCATTGTCATTCTTTTACTCGTATTTCAAGAAAAAAACTTCACTTTTTACTGTGACACTTTTATGTTACAGAATGGTTACATCCTTCCAAGAACGACTATCATGACACAACGGGGAAGAAAAAATACATGAAAGTGTGTAGTGACATGGGGATACATCCTGTGTCATATATTGTGAATAACTTAGAACAGAAAGAACTCAAGCTCCGATTTCACGGTCTTGATCAACTTAGTATAAAAGCAATATCTATACCTCTAGAGGTAAATATTTTTTGTGTGATAGTAAGTAAAGTTTTACCATGGAAACAGTAAAAAATGAAATAGAAATATTACATTAAGCCGTCCTAGAACATAAAGAACTCAAGCTTCGATTTCACGGTCTTGACTTAGTATACAAAAGCAATTTCAATACCACTGGAGGTAAATACTTCATATGTTCTGTTGAGGAAAGTTTAATCATGAAAACTGTAAAAATTAAAAAGCAAATTTACATTAAACCATGACAGTTATCATGCTTATTTTAGACAAAGAGGTAGTTTTGTAACAAATTACTGATACACGAGGGTCTGAATGAGGGGTCCTTAATTTCTGTGTTCTTTAAATTTTTAGGGCAGTAATCTTTATCTTTAAATTTAACGCTCATTCTATAAAATTCTCATGAAAATGACTGCAAAATTAAATTTTCATGTAATTTGGTGATTTCTATATTCTGTACATCGTTCATTTTTGTAATCAGTATTGTATTACCTAATTCTTTTATTTCCACAATTATAACACTTTTGCACTCCATTATACTCCATTCTTAACATATTTTGATCATTTTTCTCTATTCAATATTTTTTTACCGTTAATATATATTCAGTTAACCGCATCCAGACCCTCGTACACCAAATATCAGGAAACGTATATAATACTGAATCGAGAACACGTTTTCTTTCTTTACGCCGGTAAGATTACTGCTGTCTTTCCTCTAGTTTTTTCGAATATTGATATTAATGAAACACTGTCTTCATAACTAACAAAATTTGAAATAAAAACATCGATCGATATTGGTAGTTTTTATTATTCCGCTAAAGCACAGGAATCTTTGACGTTTCTTCTGTTTGAAAGTTTGTTTTATCAAATGCCTAACAAATAGCTCTACATGTAATTGTTTTTTTTCATCAGACGCTTTACCGTATCACATTAATATCGAGGATCTTTGACTTTTACAAAGCTAACATCCGGATGTCAGTCACATTTGACAACACGCCAGGCTTGTAAAGAGGTATGACTTCCGGCAAAGCAGAATTTCAGACATCTTTAATTTCTATGAAGCTCATGTCTAAAGTCAATTAGGCTGGTTCTACTCCTGTCATCTGGGTAACTTTCTTATTCAGATCTAGATGTCAAACATCTGTAGCAAGAATAGTTGTTTGTGAGCAGAATGATGTATAAGAGAGTATAATAAACGCGAGGTTAATAGGTTTCGTTCTCTCAGTATATTTTATGATATATTTGACAAATTATTGCTAGACGTGGTCATAACACCAACAGTTGACTTGCATATAGAAATATAATTCCGGCAGTAAAACCTTTTAAACAACGAAGTGCCCGTCTGGCTATGCGAGATGCATAAATTTGTAGCCACGTTCGAACTAAAACGGCATGCTTTAAAACCATCGAAACAACTCTCTTAGAGGTCTGTATGTGACCTGTTGCAAAAAAAGTCATTACTTTCGATGTGTCTCGGCGACAGCCTCTTTGACTTGCAGCCCCCTCCACCGACATATTGATCTCAATCAAAGCAATAGCAAATGCATATTGGTGCAAATAAAACATTTAAAAAAAATGACTGATCATTACGATATCATTTTACAGACAACTTAACATAGATAAAAGTCAACAAATTGAAATAAAACCAGTATCAAAGAAAGCTTGCATGATGGGAGGTCTATGATTTCTTTGATTCTGGTTAATTTATTCACAGCTTATATACATCGGACTGGTTTAAAGCTTGACATATATGTGATATAGACACTTTTTCATCGCTTAAGACTGAGTAATTTATCAAGTGTTTCCGGTGATTTGCTGTCTCTGTGACATATACACGAAATCTCTGTATTAGAAGTTACTGCATACTGTATGTGCCTGTCCCAAGTCAGTTAGTGTCGTCGGTGGCTGTATGCCGTACTTGTTTTTAGTTTTTTTTTCTTTAGCTTAAATACCGTCGACTTTTCCCTTTCGAATTGTTCAACATTTTGTCATTCTGGTGCCTTTTATTTCTTACCTGACATGGTTTTGCTCATTGTTGAAAGCTATACGGTGACTTACACATTTTTGCTTGCATCATTGTCTTCGATCCCTAGTGGATAGTTGTCTCATTGGAAACCATACCACATGGTCTGAATTTTATATTAGCAGTTGTATGTTGTCCTGAATAGACATACAGTATTTGACAGTGTTGCTTGTCAACAGAATGATGTAAATATAATTTATTTCAATATCTCTATCCTACTCTTCAATCTTTTTTCCAGACAAATACAAATGTAGAAATATTAAACTTACAAGGAAATGGAATAGATCCTCTTGGAGCTAGATGTTTATGTAGGGTTCTCCGAGAGAATCTCTTTTTGACAGAAGTGGTAAGATTTTTTAGCATAAGCATTCTTGATAACCAATTCAATAAAAAGAAAAAAAAAACATTTTATTTCAAGGTTGATCAAATACACCACAAGATATATCGAAATAGCATTTGGTTTGTCATTTGTTATTTTTTATTATCATATTTGGCCCAGTACATATTCTATAAAAGTCATTTCTGGAATAATTAGAGTATGTCGAAAATAACATGTGCTTTGACATTTTTGACGATTTATTTTGGAATAGTTCACACCTAATGAAGGTTATATTTCAGAAATGTAGGTCGAACAAACTGCAAGAGTATCAAACAAACAATATTATAATAATTATACAAATATAGTTTTCAAAACATAGTTTTTCTTGGAAAAGTCTTCAGCACAGTAAGCGTCTAATTCTTTCACAATATTCATTACTTTTTGAGTTGTGAATTTAGATTGTAAAGCTAATCAGAAACAAACGGAACGAAACTAAAGAATGATTGATGTAAACATTGTATGTTACAGGTGCTATCTGAAAACAAGATTGGAACGGAAGGTGCTGTGGCATTATGTCAATTTCTTAAAGGAAATCGCAACTTGATTAAAGTTGACCTTACAGGTGAGGCCATGCAGAGGAGTACCGGATAACCATTTAAATAGGATTAATCTGTTATGATTAAATATACTTAACACGAGTTTAAGTTTGTTTAAAGGATAAAAAATCTATAATGAAATAAAATAAGAATAAAGAAAATATCAAGCATCAGATAGTCATTATTTTTTTGTGTACTTTATACAATTTTCAAACCCCATATCCATCATTAAAGTTCAATATTTGATTAAAAATTTCAAACTAGATATTTGATTTACTGTTATTTCAAAGAAATGTAAGGTATACAAGTAGAAAACAACTAAAAACAACAGGTCTGCGTGTACTGTTATACGGCGTATCCTTTTTTGCAAAAGCTTGGAAATTTTCTTTTCAAGAGAGGTGGTCGATACGAAAGAGATATCCAACACTTTTTACGAAGACAAATCAACAATGCCATGTCAAACGCCATGCACAATCAGATTATACACATTTGAAAAAAAATCATATATGCAAATTTTATTTTAATTTTTACGAAGAATTTCAATAGTCAAGAGTAAATTAATACAAAGCAACTGCGTTATCAGGATTATAAATCATTATGACATTTATAGCATATAACAAGACCGAGGCATTCTTAGAACAGCACCAAAAGAAAAGTACCTACATGTCAAAGCTAAATATAGTGCATTGTAAAATAAAAACCGATAAAGACATCAAGTCCTCCCTTAGTATAATTATCCTATCCTTACAAAAAGTTAAAAAAATGAAATGAATGAGTAACCTTCTACAATGTATTTATCATATTATAACTTTTTTTTTTTTTACAGATAACGAAATTGGAGATTCTGCTGGACAGAGCTTCTACGAAGTGTTGAAGGTATGACAATAGTATATTCTTATAGGTTTTTTTTTCTTATTCTATTGAAAAAAATTAGGTCTAAGTCTCAAATGGCCAGATTGCAATATTTGTGACTAAATTTTGCTGAAAAATGAATAAGTTCCAAAGTCTGGATGAATAAGAAAACAATCCTCAAACAACTCCATAACAGCAGATGCACAACTTCAACATATGTGCAATCTTTCTGAAGTTTCAGGCATCTGGGTTGAAAACTGTAGGAGGAGTTGATTACACAAAATAAGTATCTACTTTTACCCTCCCGACATCCACCCAAATCCGCCCACCCATCCACCCGCCCGCCCGACACACTATAAGCCAGTTTTGTACTTCGTTCAAGCCGACCAACAAATAAACTGTTTTTATAATCAATTTTCAATATTGATATCAAATTCTGGACAGACATTGTCTCAAAAGTTTCTGAAAATATTGACTATAAGTTCCTTTTTCATTAGTATTGTCAGGATATACATGCAAACACGTCGCCTACTTGACCTGAACACATATTTGCCATTTTGTTTTGTAAATTTATCTGTTGACAATTTTGTCATCATATGACCAAGGGTTAACCAATAAAACAACGGCATCGATAATACTCGGTTACTCACATATGTGACTTCGTATCTCCATACTCGTTTTCGTGTTTTTTTTTTTTTAAATAACGACATTATTTGTTAGACAATATATTTGTTTTAAATGCAACATATAATCGTCAGTTCATCAATGGTATTTTTAATCTGAACCAGTTAACAATAACTCTGTGATTAGTAACGTAATAAAAATACACGGCTACTTATTTCAATGGAAAGGGCTAACTAACTACCCGTCATGAAACTGAATCAAAAGACAAATTATTGTGATAAATATTGCGAATAGGAAGCTGTGTATTGGAAAACTATTTACAAGGAACATAGGAAGCTGTGTATTGGAAAACTATTTACAAGAAACATAGCAAACAATTGCCGTAATTAAAACATCAATCTTAAATATAGGGAGCAATTTTAGAAATTGATTATGATTTGTTAATAACTATTATCTTTGATTACTATTACTACTGAAACAGTTCGTTAATTCATGGTGAGTGTTCAGCGGTAGGATTTGAGAAATACGAATTAGTTTCCAGTAATTACAAGTACTCTTAGATCGGTACATTGTGTCTTTTTGTCATTTTGTTAGATTTTGTGCGTGATTATAATCAGATTATACTTAGTCTAACACTGTATAGTTACACCACTACGTTGGGCTAGAGGGAGAGGTGAGCGCTTACAGTAAATTTAAAGCAACAATTCTTTGTGTGCCTGTCTCAATCATTTGAGCCTCACGTACACAAGTGGTTGTAGTTTTCTGTCCGTCATAGTTGTTTTTCGTTAATTGTTATTGGCTTCAATCAGGCCATTTTTTTTCTCTTTTGCATTATGACATAGTGTATTGCTGGTTCTTTTAACGCGAACTATACAGTATGAGTTTTGTTTAACTTTTGAATGACATACGACGACCTGTAGTTCTTTGGTGGATAGTTCTTCTCATTTGACAATCATATCACATCTCCTTATTTTGATGTTAATGAAGTTTTTTTTAATATTTTCTAAACTTATAGGCTTTTCTCTAGATTAACAAGAAACTATTTCTATCCACTGTTTCATTACAAAACTAAAACTGAAATATTGTTTGTCAGACTGGTGTCAAAGTGGCTTTGCTTTTTAACAGACGATTTCCGTTATAGGGAACGACCATTTGACTTTGAGGGGAAAAGATAGTGGGTTGTGTTTTTTTTTAATCCTAAAATTGTTTGTACCATGCAAGCATCAATTTATTAATTTTTCAAAATTTAATGGCATGACAAGCACTCACAATGTATGTATATATATTACTTGTAATTTCAGGGTAACAAGTCATTGAAAGAATTATTACTTTGTAATAATCACTTTGAAGAAAATGCCGCTACATGGTTCAGAGATGGTTTGTCAGAAAATGACACGTTAGAAGTTATTGATTTAGGCTGGAATCCGTGGAAAACGAGAGGAGCAGTATGTCTGGCCGAAGGGTTGGCGGTATGAATTCATTAAAACTTTTCGTCACTATTCATAGAAGTAAAGAAAGAAGTATTTCATGATTTTAAGATATTAATGAAATCTCTTTATTCCATAAGGAAATTTCATTCATTTTTCAAAACGTATGATATTTCCATCACAAAATGTATAAAGAAAGACAACTAAGATATCGAGATATCAAACATTATCTGTAAAAATCACGTGAAAATATTTTGACCAATAAATATAAATATGAATGTTTCAAAGATCCAGCAATTTAAATGTAAAAGAAGCGTTTCACTTATTACCAGTACATGACAGTAGTCTGGATAAATATGGCGCTTACAGTCATGCACAAAGTTGGAAAACCAAATACAAACATATTATTAATAGACTAGTATGATTAAGTTCATCTTAAAATATGAAAATTTGATATTTTTTAAATTTGTAGGAAAATGTTGGACTACGGCGTGTTCGGTTTGTAATGGCAGGTTTAGGAAAGTTGGGTGCGCAGGCATTAATGGATGCCCTACTACATAACAGGACTCTACAAGAGCTGGATATCAGCTATAATAGGATACCAGTAGAAGGGGCAAACTGTATAGCTTCCGGTCTGAAGAAAAATGATACTCTTAAAATATTAAAAGTATGTGTCTTTAAGGTTAAAGGAGTCCTAACGACTGGTTTTACACATTAGCTAAAATAATTTGAAACAGCAAAAATATGACAAACTACAAATAATCAGATTTTGAATAGCAATAGTCATTTTGATTGAAATCAACCTTTCAAAACTACAAATAATCAATGCTTCTTGAAAAATAACACTTTATAAATTCGATGTGTTTGAAAAATAGAGGCGAAATATACCGAAAAGATATCAAAACTGGAAAACAAACTGACAATTCCATCGCAAAAACAAACCGACAATTCCATCGCAAAAACAAACTGACAATTCCATGGCAAAAACAAACTGACAATTCCATGGCAAAAACAAAAACAACGAAAAGACAAACAGTGAAAACAAAACACAACAAAGAAAACTAAAGACTAAACAGCACGAAGCTCTTTTCTGGAGTATCCTTTATTAGGAACACTCAACCCCCCCCCCCCCCCCCCCCAAAAAAAAAATGAAATCGAAGTATGTACTGGTATAACTACTTAAATATATGAGGAGCTATATGGATATTTAAAGCTATCAGAACTATAAAAACGATTGGAGGACCATCATTTCAAATTGATTTTTCATTGTTTGAAGGAATGTTGAATATCTGTTTTACATTATAGATAGGAAATAATCCATTTGATGCAGACGGTGCCATGGTAATACTGGAAGCCGTCGAAAGTAATGAAACATGTGCAATAAATCTTCTAGACTTTAGTGTAAGTATTTAACCAGCATTAACAGTTATGTATTGAACAAGCATTTAACAGTATTAACAGTATTGAATCAGTATTCATCCAGCATTAGCAATATTGAACTTGCATTAACAGAAGAATTCGTGTAGATTTAATTTCATTTAATGGGCATATCTTGTTTAACTTTCATCATGGATGCTCGGCACTAAAATTTTGAAAGTCAAATATGTATGATTATAAGCAGAATTATAAAGAGTGTTATTGTATTGCCAAAATAATACAACTATCAAAGAGCAATTTTACCTAAATTTAAATGTAGTTGCGTCTTATATTTCATGAAAATGACATCTGAGAACTTACATAGATTTTTGTAATAGCTAAAGACTGCAGCGAAATTGACAACTGAGCGATGTAATAAAAAGCTGCGCGCAAACGTAATGATTTTTACGCGCAAATTTAAAGCTAATGCGCGCAAATGTAATGCATCGAAATTATGGTTATGCGAAAAATTCAAGGCATCTTATTATAATATTTGTCAGTATGTATTGATACATAGGAAGTCAGAAGTATATTATTTCATAAATGTAGGAAATCTAAAATACCGATCCATAGGCAGCCTATTTTGAACAAGCAAAAGCCTCTTTCGGATATGTAAATATATTATTGATATATATCACAATTTCTTTCAATTATCTTTTCAGAATATCATGGTTAAAATAGAATTTAAAAAAATACAGGATAGACTCATGACTGAGCGAAATATGAAAATTACAAACGAAGGCGTTCTTCCCGACACACAAACGGATCCAGAAACATTTGCAAAATTGACTGCTTTCCGTAAAGACCCAATTGAAGCTTTCAAACGTCATGTTTATAATTGTGGCGTCAATCTGTGTGATGTGTTTAATGTGGATAATGATCTGAAACTCTCCGTCGTAGATTTTAAAGATTTAATAAAGGTAAGATATTATAATAGGAGGGTCTTAGGGAGGGATATGTTTAATAAAATAATATAAAATAAGACGTTAATAAGTTACGATTTTTATATATATAATATATAAAGAAATGGCATTTCTATCAGTTTGAAGACACGTTAATAAAAATTGAGAGCGAAGTAGTTTCTAACATAGGTTTTGCCATTGGTAACTACCTTTTAGAAAACTAATGAAAACATACATTGTTAAAAAAAAAGACCTAGTACAAAGTACATAACAACAGATCTAGGGAAAAATAGTGGTTTACTTTATAAAGTTTATTTTTAAAGATAATTATTTCAATCAACACGACAAAGTTGCAGGTATGTCGTTAAAATGAACCATGTCAACTTTTACTTATTTTTTTTCCATGAAACTCCTTTTACCTAATTTTAACTTAGAAAAAAGTATAATATTCTAAGCTAAAACAATGTTCGAATACAAAAAGAAACATATATATTTAAGTTTGAATAAAAGGAGATATGGGTAAATGTTATGAGACAGGAACCTGTCGATACAATAACAAAAAAATCAAACAAACAAAACACATCCGGAGGACATCGTGCGGTTTTCAAAAATTGACAAACTTATTCACGAAATGCTAAGTTCTAAATCGTCAAGAGTCAAGAGAAGCTCCGAAGAGATTTGTTTTATTTCGAAATAGGTATCAAAGCTTCATTTCAAGCATAATAACAACAACGTTGACCATAATGATATAATGTGGTCACCTTGTAAGAATAAATCGGCAAAACAATTTTAATCAACACTTATTTTCAAATTGCAATTAATCTTGAAGCCCTGAAGGCTGTACATTAATGTGTTGAAACCAATTATATTTGTTAAAGTCGTAAATTATGAGCTTAATTACTTCATTCTAAAAGCAATTGCTACAATACCTTATCAATAGGGATAATTGAGGTGATAATTACTTAACCAGGATAAACAAAGCAGTTAAGTCATTATTGGATAATTGGTACCTGCAAAAATTTCAATTAAAAATGAATTAACATAATTATCGGGTAGAGATCAAGGAGGTATAACTACAAAATCGATACTGTCTTAGCTGAATAGTAGATTAAATAGAAGGGTTTTAGTCCGCGGTTTTGTTGTAAGGTATTTAAGACTTTAAAAGTACTGATCAATTTAAAAATACAACTTCAGACAGAATAAGAAGCTTAAGGAAATGTAGAACATTTGATAATTCGGTTATACGTGCATCTTCTATGCCAAAAAAAACTTCCACTTCTTAACCTAAGCATGCACATGGTTTTTGTTTTTGAAGTCTTAATTGTTCAGGTCTCCCGTTGCCAACATACATAACACGTAATGCTAACACCCCTCCCCCCCCCCCCCCCCCGCCAAAAAAAACCCAACCAAATACAGAAACGCCATACTAATAAAAAATTCCTACAATTATAACAGTATCTACTTTTTGATATTTTGAACCCACTATTATGAGCATACTACCGGTATGAAACTACGGATTTTGTGTTATTAAAATTTGCTGTCACAAAATTTTGGAAATTATTTGAAATTAAGGAATGTATCTCCCTCATGAAAAGCTCTGATTTCTTGCCCGGCTTTGGCTATACTTTTGTGTCCTTTTAGGTTTATAGCTCTTCATCTTTTTAATAAGCTTTGGATTTTCAAATATTTTGGCCAAGAGCATCACTGAAGAGACATTGATTGTCGAAATGCGCATCTGGTGCAGAAAAATTGGTACCGTTTATGTTATTAAGCACAGATAATCAGAGGACTTACTTCTAAACTTTTATAATTGATATTAAATTCTTTCTATAAAATTAAAAATTATTATTTGGCCTGTTTTTAACCATAGCGTGGCAACCACTGGGTCGATGCCGTTGCTGGTACCTGAAAACATCATCAGACGAATATTAGTCAACCATCGTGTGATTACATGAAATATCAATGATACGGTCATTTTCTGTCAATTTATCTTTCATAAACTTTCAAATCGTTCGAAGCAGTAAGGTTTTTCTACCTCAATGCATATATGGCCTTAGCCAGATTTAGCAGCATAACTTTTTAAAATATGTGACTTCTTAAAACTTCGTTGATTATGTTGCCTTCCCACTGTTTTGTTTCGAGCACCACTAACCAGTCTTGTGTATACCAAAACCGCGTCTGGCGTTCTAAATGATAATCATGGTATCTTAGATAAGTTTCTACATTCAGTTATTTTTCTTAATAATGAATCAATAGTATCATTCTGATATGAAGTGGTGTATTTACACATAACATAAAATATCACATTGGACTGAATTTTTGTATTAAAATATAGAGTTTTTTAATTGTATGTTATTAGTTGCTTTTTATATTTCTTTTGCATTCCTTAAACAACTTTTTTTTTATTACCATGAACGTAGTTATTTCAAACTTTATTACTGGAATCTTTCGATACATCTTCACACAAAGACAATGGAATAAATCAATTTCTTTCTTACACGAAATTTCAACCATGTGAAAATACGGACAACAGTTTTTTCATCTTAGGCATCATAACTGATCATTTTAAAAACAGAAAAAAATATCAAAAACCAATGTAAAAGACTAAATAATGCTTATTTCTTTACTTGATAACTTGTTTGGAGGTGTTTGTGATCAATTAACTGGATAAACAATAATATATAAACAAGAGCCAAATGCAGCTAAGGGCATTAACAAAGTTTATCATTACTTATTTTAAACTAAACAAACGAACGAACAAGTTAATTTAGGCAACAGTAGTCTACCGATGTTCAAATCTACAAAACTATGAAGAACATACAAATCAAGGTGACACACAAACTGAGAGAATTGCATGAACTCCAAAGGGAGCAAAACCTTGTTCGTCAACAACATAAGGGTCTCCTGTTATGCATGCATCACCCGTCATGCGAATCAACACTCAGTAAAATGAGGAATAGGACACAACTTGTAAAATAATAGATCAGACAACTTTTCTGGTATCTTAAGATCTAATACCGTTAAACATGTTGCAAGTTAGTTAATACATAGCCACATATCGGTTAACCAATTCGTGTCAATTTCAGTCGTTCTCACACATAAATCTGTTGGAGCAGTTTTTGTGTAAGAAGAACATCCATGTTAATTAATTCCTTATAGTGTGAACATGCACGAGCATAACATACAAAACGTAAAAGACAGCTGTTCCTTACCAATGTTAATTGTTTGGTTTCAATTTAAACAGGGTGCTGGTATTGATATTCAAGGACCGTATTTCTCTTTTCTGATGAAAGTTTTAGAAGAAAATGGAAATGTTAATTACTGGTAAGAATTTAAGTTTTAATAACGTCCATCTCCAAACGAAATAGATACTGTTTGACAAATCGTAATCACTTTTTTTTATTCTTAATTCTATGACAAAATGTGGGCAAAAATGTTCAAGGGTTTTTAGTTTTTGTGGTAAGAATCTGTTAATTATCAGACAGTAATTGGTGGTTTATCAAATTCATTTGTTAGTGGGGTTCATGTAATATTTTAGGACTGTTGTTCGTCTTTTTCCTTTTTTGAAATGTGTCTTTCCTTTTCGATCGATGATATCGATTGCTCTTTGATAATAATAAAGAATTCTCAAATGCAAATAATACTTAAGGATGTACTTAGGTCAGGTTTAGGATTTTTTGTCAGATGTTCGGACTCCTTGGTTTTTTTCCTACGATACTGGGTAAAATATTTTGCCGCATAACACCCACTTTTTTTTTCATATAAGACTTCAATAGCTCATAAAAGGTCATTTACTAAAGTTTAAGCAGATTATAGATTTCTTTTCTTTTGATTTGAGACCCAAATAACGCCAATGCAAATATAAGGTAAAAGTCCGAGTCAGCTTTTCCCGCCAGTTTTTAAAAATTAAATATCTCGAAAAGAAGCTCCATAACCTATCAATATTTTTAGCTTATATTTTCCCTTAACTAATGCTCTTCTGACTTATAGTATCAATTTTAAATTCTAGATTTTTTTAATTTCACCTAAGTACATCCTTAAATTTCAATTTTCATGTACAACTAAATCTTAAAATATTTTTGTTTTAGGCGTTTATTTGATAAAAATGCCAACGACGAAGTTATGGAAACTGGGAAACCAGGAAAACCAAGTGTTACTATAAAAATCGTCGAAGAACCGCGACCAAAGGGAAAGAAATCGGCAAAAGACAGAAGTGATTCAGCTAAATCAACCAAAAAGAAAAAGAGTAAAGATAAAGCAAAGAAAAAATGATAGTTTGTGTCAAAAATTCATTCCCCTAATCATTTTACTCATTTGTGCCATACAAATTCATCAGTTCATTTCATATGTAATTACATTATCTGCATTTATTACAAGGTTATGGCTTCTTACAATGCTATGTGATTATATTATGATAGTTGTTGATATAGTATTAATTAAACCAAAATGAAACACACATATCTTCATTTATTACTTCAAAGCACGTCTTTTTGCTTATGCTTAACCTTCCACTGTGAAGATCGCATAATTGGAAGTTTGGTGACTGTATTGATCTATTAAATAAATGCAATTAAGTCTGATTCATATTTTACGTCAGATATTGGTATTTGTTTTTAAGACAGACAGCTAGATACCATAAGCATACTATGTATACACAGGCCAGTCTGAGCTTGATTTGCTACATGATATAAAAACTAAACTGACGAAAAAAGGTCATTTATTCAAAATCATAAAATGCAAAAAAATCATTTTGCAAATAAAACATTTGACATAAAAGTTCATATTTAATATGAAATAATAATACATAATTAATACGAAATTACATCAACTAATATCATATCAATTGAATAAATGACAAAGAATAGCAAAGGTGGGGAGAAAAATCTGCCCCACAAATAAACATATATACATATCTACTTCAAAAGATAACATTGAGGGAGGTATGTGGGTGGGAATTTTTAACAAATTGTTTGATAAGAATCACAAGTTAACACATCAAATGCTGATGATAAAAGGAAGTGACCACAACGCACTTACACGTGAACTCGTGCTGACCCCGCAAGATCATTGACCAATAAGAAAGATGTACTAGTAAATCAATCATGCACTGGTCATAAGTGAAATTTCTATGCAGTGAAAACATGTTATCTAATTTCAACAATTTATCGTTTGATTAAGTAGGACACTCTGACCCTTTGACCAGACTAGAGACATCATAAATTTACAGTATAAATAGCTCACTCTTTATTTAAGTCTTAGTAATAAACAATTAAAACAGAATTATCTTCTCTGCTGTCTTAAATTATTTTATTTAGCTTAATTTTCAATTAGCCAATAAAATTGGTTTTAAGACAGACAGCTAGATACCATAAGCATACTATGTATACACAGGCCATAGTATGAGCTTGATTTGCTATATGATATAAAAACTAAACTGACGAAAAAAGGTCATTATGATATTCATAATCATAAAATGCAAAAAATTCATTTTGCAAATAAAACATTTGACATAAAAGTTCATATTTAATATGAAATAATTATACATAATTAATACGAAATTACATCAACTAATATCATATCAATTGAATAAATGACAAAGAATAGCAAAGGTGGGGAGAAAAATCTGCCACAAATCCGCTCTTAAGCTGAAAGAGTGGATCCCAAATCCACTCTTAGGCTGAAAGAGTGGATCCCCATAGACCAAGCTACTACGACCTCTGCAAAAAAAAGTAACATGAGTTTCATGACGAAGCATAAAACAATACCCACTACATACTAACATATTTACAAAAGCAAATACACAGAGGTCATAGACCAAGCTACTACGACCTCTGCAAAAGTAGCATGAGTTTCATGACGAAGCATAAAACAATACCTGCTACATAATAACATATTTGCAAAAGTAAATACAAAGAGGTCATAGACCAAGCTACTAGACCTCTGCAAAAACAATACACAGAGGGCATAAGTACAAGCAACCTCGCCCTCTGCAAAAATTAAAATATCGTCCACATTACCCAAACAGGCAAAGACAGGTAAATTGGTTCGTAATAAATAAGCATTGGGTTGCGATATAGGTAAGATACATATCCTTTTTATACCGTTAACATTAAGCAAACAAGGTACACCTGCATAAATTAAAATACTAACAATTATAGCGATTAGGCTAACTTGCAAAATTATAAGCTCCAAACAAACCACCGTGACGAGATTTACGAAAGTAGCATGAGTTTTGTGACATAGCATAAAACAATGAACACTAAATAAAACATAATTGCAAAAGGAAATACACAGAGGTCATAAGTACAAGCAACCAAGCTCTCTGCACCAATTGAAATTTCGTCCACCTTACCAAAACAAGTAAGGCAAATGGGTTTGTAACCCAATAAATAATAGCATAGCTTTAAAACTTAAACTATCTTGCTCTTTCATATGAGAGTGTTTAAATGTATGGAATCGTGAATAACATCGTATATAAGAGTGTAACTTTGCATTCTATCATGTATGGTATTATTATCGTTATGAAACAAATTTTGTATTTGTAGTTAAATTTAAAAGAACCATGTCTCCTACAGATACACAAGGCGGATATACGTTCTGCAAACATTAGGATGCTATTAAGGATTCAGTAACTTGTAAAATTACATCATCGGGTTAATCATCAGCTATCATTTTTGATAAGTATGGTAAATAATTACATTTTGATCGCAAACGCAGTGTCGCCACCAACACCAAAATTAATTTGACCCACTATCTCTTTGACAAAGAAATGAATATGACCAATTAACTGCTACATGATTTGCATAAATCAAAATCGTGAGATCTATCCGAATGGTAGAATGGTAAAAAATTAACTGTACGTTTGTTCAGAATGTAAGCATAAAATAGCTAAAAAATAAAATTATAGTTCGATTTTACCTCAAATTGCTAAAAGGAAATCACTCCAGTCCAAAATTATCCATAAAATTAAAATTTTTAACAAATTGTTTGATAAGAATCACAAGTTAACACATCAAATGCTGATGATAAAAGGAAGTGACCACAACGCACTTACACGTGAACTCGTGCTGACCCCGCAAGATCATTGACCAATAAGAAAGATGAACTAGTAATCCAATCATGCACTGGTCATAAGTGAAATTTCTCTGCACGTGAAAACATGTAGTCTAATTTCAACAATTTATCGTTTGATTAAGTAGGACACTCTGACCCTTTGACCAGACTAGAGACATCATAAATTTACAGTATAAATAGCTCACTCTTTATTTAAGTCTTAGTAATAAACAATTAAAACAGAATTATCTTCTCTGCTGTCTTAAATTATTTTATTCAGCTTAATTTTCAATTAGCCAATAAAATTGGTTATCGGTTTAGAACTAATTTTTACGGCAAGCGAGATGATACTACCTTTGTAAACTTCCAATTCTATGTAGCAACATCTAGCAGCACCAGCGTATAGGAAATATGTGTCTAAGTTTTTGATCATGGTGATAAGTTGTCCGTCTTTCTTGGACTAAGGTATTTTTATTACCCCTTTATCTACCTTCCTTATTTAAACCCAAAGTGGTCCCGAAAATAAACTTAAAGAATAATGTCCTATTTGACTTTATGGAGGTCTTAACGAAAATACTGTAGATTTTCAGTAGTTATGTATGTATGATTTGAATACATTAAGGATGTAGTCATGTCAGGTTTAGGAATTTTGGTCAGATGTTCGGACTCCTGGGGTTTTTCCTACGATACAGAGTAAAATATTTTGCCCCATATCACCCAATCTTCTTTCCATAGAAGAATTCAACAGCTCATCAAAGGCCATTAACAAAATTTAAGCAGATTTAAGCAGATTCTAGATTTCTTTTCTTTCGATTTGAAACCCAAATAATGCCAATGCTAAATATGAGGTAAAAGTCTGAGTCAACCTTTTCCCGCCATTTAAAAAAATCAAATCTCCAAAAGGAGTTCTATTACCTATCAATATTTTAAGCTTATTTTATTCCTTAACTAATGCTCTTTTGATTTGTAAGCCAATCTATAAGCACTGATTAGTTGGTGGGTAATATACACCGGTACAGTAATTTAGAGTCTGAAGTATATTCATTTTTTGTGTCTTTAGGTGTAATACCACCATTGATTTCCCCCTAAAAAATTGTGCAGAATTTATCTTTGTTTCAAATAAAGAAATACTTGGCATGAGTAAAGTTTTATCCTGTCCAGTACTATAGACAAAATTTCACATAACATGTAATTGCATATAAGAAAATAACCATCACTGGAAGTTAACCAATCAAATTTTCACCCCTTTTTTCCTGTGTACAAGCTTTAGTAACCAAGTAACCTCAAATTTCAAAAATATTCTAAAGAAACACCAAATAAAAAAATAATGGTGCTTTGAAACACCCAAGATATAAGTTTATGACTCGGAATATTCTACTGCAATGAAATGTAGGATTAATTTCCTACAACTGTCAAATTCAAGGGAATATTTATTTCGACCCTTTTTCGTATGCAACCGGATATGACGTACTATGATTTGGTGGTATTACACTTTTACATGTATATCTTTGCTCGGAAATATCGACTCCTTAGTTCAGCTGACGATATTATAGTGATCGACGTCATGATTTCCTATCACCAGGTATAGTACTACGCACGTACGGTTTTAGTAACTGCGAGCATTTTAGAATACGGCATTTATTTTTTTTCGACGATAATTGGTACTGCTGTCTTTGGAATGAAATTTACATACTTTTACGGACAACAAAAAGTATAATATGCTTTAATGGAAATTTTTGAATTGTAAATAACATACCGTTTCATCAATACGATCGAAAGGAGATGTGAAGGATTAAGGCAACATCTTACCGATGTTCAAATCTCATAAATCGATTACGAGGATATACCAAGCTAACAAATAAAGCTTCGTAAATTGCACGAACTAAAGGAGGAGACCGGGTAAGCAATTCCTGATATGCATTTATCCACCGCCATGCGAATTCAAACCCACTCAAAATGTCTCAATCGGGAATAGGACACAATTTGTAAAATTCATCCTCCTTCTCTGACTGGGGGGGGGGGGAGGAGTCTTGTATAAACTCGAAATCTTACCTCGGATGTCTTCAATTTTCCCGCTCTTAACCATTGCAACTGTCGTTGTATTCGTAAAGAAATGAATTAAATATACAAGATGGGTACTCTTATGTAATGTTCATTACTACGGCAATATGTTGTTGGGCATGACAATTGACCTATTCACATAAAAGGATACAAAAATAAGAAATATGTATGTAAATTCAAAATCGTACCATTCCCTTTTAACATCTCATAAATGTTTATGTCAGTATAATATATGATTCATCACAAATATGCAACATAAAATCTTGAAAAAGGTATCACTTTATTTCGATTAGTTTTATAGTTTACATATTGTATCCTTGAAGACCGTATGTTCGCAAAAAG